CACAGAGATCTCTCACACAAGTCCAGAGACAGAGGAAAGCATCCAGGGGAAAGAGAGGATGCAAGGACTGGATCTGCCTGTCATTCATGGGAAGTGAGTGGACTGTGTGGATGAGACAGGGAGGTAATTCATGGATAAAGGTAAGACCTGGACATTTGGGGAGGAACCCAGACCATCTACTTTAGCTTTACAATAAACTCTAATTTCTTTTTTCTTTCTTTTTTTTTTCCCTTTTTGGGTTACACCCGATGACCGATGATGCACAAGGGTTACTCCTGGCTCTGCACTCAGAAATTACTTCTGGCAGTGCTTGGAGGATCATATGGGATGTTGGGAATCGAACCTGGGTTGGCCACATGCAAGGCAAACGCCCTACTCACTGTCCTATGGCTCCAGCCCCAAACTCTACTTTCTTAACCTCTTAAGTTTTATATGCAAATCTTTCATACAATTTTTAAGAACCCACCAGCACAGGAAAATCCAATTTCACACTAGCACTAGTATAATACTAATGATATTTTATTTTCTTTATTATTTAGGAGGAGGTTGGGGTCACACCCAGTAATAGCCAGAATTTACTCTTGGCTGTCTCTTCAGGATTATTCCGGGAGGGGATCCATATGGGATACTGGGGATTTAACCCAGATTGTGTGTAAAGCATGTACCCGACCTGCTATACTTATTGCCCCAACCACTAGAATATTTTAATATATTTCTCTGATACATACATATGTAACCCTTAGAAGTAGGTGCAACCTTCATTAACATACTCAGTGTTAAAACCCAAGAAATTTGAGTCCATTTATAATTTATTGAGTGCTTGTGTGTTGCAGGAGCATGAAACAGAGTGAAGCATGACCCTTACATTCACCGTAATAGAATCCACAATGATAGTAGAGGACAAAGAACTCTCACTGTCTGCTTTTATCCACCAATAAGAAGAGTCAGTCAAGGTGACTGAGATTTGTTCTCCAGATGTCCCGCCAAATTCCTTATAATTTGTACAATACCAGAAAAAAAGGGAAGTTGCTGAAAGTCATTGTATTATTATTGTTATTGTTGTTTTTGGGGGTCCACACCCCGCAGTCCTCTGAGCTTGCTTCTCTCTCTGCACCCAGGGATGACTCCTGGCAGGGCTCTGGAGAATTATGGGATGTTGGGGGTTGAACGCAGGTCAGCTGTGTGCAAGGTAAGTGCAGCCTCTGCTGTACTATCTCTCCAGTCCCTATATTTGAAATTTTAGCTTCACTTGCTCATTCAAATAAGTGGACTGCAAACTGGTTTTGTTATTTAGACTTAAGCTTCAGGAATAATTCTAAAGGGTAGCAGATCAACATTCTTGACTTGAGTGAGAATAACACTTCTCTGTGAATAATAATTGTTTTCTTCCTTGTCTTCAGAATATTTGGATTACGGAAGGGTTAAGTAGAATTTTCTTTTAAGGAAAGAGAAGCATGAGTCAACTGCAGGTGGATTATTAACAACCAAAGCTTGAAAAAGCATCAGTTTAATCCACAGCTTAATTGAAACTGAGTTGGTTGGAGAAGAGAAACTTTTCCAACCAATAGTCTTGGCAGAGTCTAGTAATATTGCCATGAAGTTAATCAGATTTTTGCATACAAGGCAAGCACCTCTCTCTTTCTCTGGACCCTGTCAGATGCTTTTGACTCTTGAGAAATGACTCCAAAGAGTGCTCCATGTTCTCATCTTCCTGTTTATCCTCAGCAGCCTGAGGCAATTGGCTCTCCTTGGAAGATTTTATTTTCTCCTTTGTAGACTTGCATTTAGAATACAACTCTGCTGTGGCTGGAGGAAGAATCAGAGGAAGTGGAGCACCTTTCCCTGCCAGAGGAAGCCTTTCCAGAGTTTCTAGAATGGCTTCTGAAACTTGGAGAGGAACCTTTTTTTTTGGGGGGGGGGGGCGGCATGGAACCACATACGGCCATATCGGGAACCGTATGCTTGCCAATAATTTTGCCAGTTTGAGCCGTAGTTTCCTTTGCCTCCTCGGCTATACTGGCTCCAAGGTAAAACGCCTCTGCTGCGTCCACAGAATTAATAGGACCGTCAATAACCTTCGTGGTGATTGGGGAAATCCCAGTGTTTGTAGATTCTTGGATGGTTTCTCTGATATGAGCTAGGAACATACCCTAAGCACCAATGGGTATGAGTCTCCCTAAAAAAACAAAACAAAACACATTGCCCTCTTTTACCCTTCATGTATATTATCACCATTTTTCCCCACCCCATCACTGTTCTGTGAGACAGACTTAAAAAATGCCCCATCTGATAACATATATATATATATATATATATATATATATATATATATTTGCCATCTGCCCTCCCGTTGTTTATTGATTTGCTCGAGCAGGCCCAGTAACGTCTCCATTGTGAGACTTCTTGTTACTGTGTTTGGCATATTGAATACTCTCGGTAGCTTGCCGGGCTCTCCAAGAGGGGCGGAGGAATTGAACGCGGCTATGTTTAAAATGTCATTTGAAATTATCATGATAGGGGCTGGAGAGATAATATAGTGGGTAAGGTGCTTGATTTGCATGGGCCTGGCCCAAGTTTGATCCCTGGCATCCCATATTGGCCCCTTGGCAACACCAGGAGTAATTCCTGAGTGCAGAGCCAGAAGTAGTAAGCCCTGAGGATTGCTGGATGTGACCTCCCCCATGTGACCCCCCCCACCACCAGAAAAAATACTTAAAAATGTATCATGATATAACCCAACGTGAGAACAGGAGACACTGTCACTATACTGAAGCCTTTTTAATGAATGTCCAAGTAGCAAATGAATCTGATATCATTTCTCTTTGCATTGGAAAAGAACATATTTCCATTAAGTGATAGAGCAAATGATAAAATCTAGAGACAGATCCAGAGTTTGCTAACAATTTTTATTGCTACGTGCTCCCATTACAACAAACAGCATCAGTAGTGTACACTTGATAAAAAGAAATTTTCAGCTTAGTAGAAAAGGAAGCTCAAAGACCAGAAGTATAAGGAGTATCTACATCTTTATGGAGGTGTACATGTGTGACCGGCTTTCTCTATATTCCCCTGGGGGTCAGGCATATGCACATGCAAGTAAACTAGAGAGAATTTCATTCCAGGAAATTTTCTAGAAAATAAAATTATTTCTATAATTTCTACTTGCAACTCAGGGATTGTTTTAAGATCTGGAACTCAACAATTTATTTGACTTTTACAAGTCTTGCACAACGTAGCAGCAATTCTTGAGAGGTATAGAGTCAATAAGTGAAGCTATCAGTTTACCTTGGTTGAGATGCAAAAGTCTTGCATATTCTATGCTATGAAAGGTTAATATGACCGCCATTTAAATTGCATAATATAATTTCTGACATTCCAGCAACATACCACAGAAACAGTATGCTGGAAATGCGCTTTTTTTTAAAGGATAATTTATAAAAGTTTTATCTCTTTCACATACTTTAAAAGTTTCTAATTCACCATTTCAATGAAGCAGCTAGTTACCTGAGTTCATGTCTCCTGTGTCTTATTGAAGGGGTACAATTCATCAAGTTTGTAGCAACTGCACTGAAAATACAAAAGGTTTGCATCACATCAAGTTTGTTTAACTTTCGCTCTTTTATTTGTTTGCTGTGGTTTACTTAAATTCCTCCTCTATACACAGAACACAGCATGCCTCTCTAATTGTCTCTCTCTAGCTTACCAAATATGTCATTAATATTAGTGTAAATATTTAGTGCATAAAAATACTATCAAGAAAAAAAATCAACTTTTAATAAATATTTTCAATTCTGAATTCTATATACAAGTACTTTACATGTACTCCCTGGAGAGAGCATTTCTGGTTTCACTGTGAGCAGAGTGACCTCTGACATAAATTATTAGCACATTATTGCAGTCAAATGCATTGTGGTCATGAACATTTGGGTATGAACCATGCGGAAAATAAATATTGCAACCACTGGCTAATGCTTTCATGAACCTGCTTCCAAAATCCCATAACCCTATTATAATTTGAATATAAATTCTAGTACAAATATACCTTTCTCAGCTACTCACAAACAATTCCCCAAGCATTTTCCTTTTGTTATTATTACAGTATATTGAGTATACCAGATTGTATAGGTCAACAACGGAAAAATGAATAAAAAATAACACAAGAACTTAGATGACTTCAATGGTGCCTCTTAAGGTCCTGATAAAAAGCTTTTAGTTTTATCTTCCATAGGCTTTTTACTGATTTCTTCTCTTTCACCACAAATACACTAAGATAACTGTCCCAATCCTATTTATTTTAAAGGTGGAAGGTAGTAGGTAAGCGGAAATCTACTATAGCTTCTCTTTTTATTTTTCTAGAATTTAGGTATCACATTGTTGATTACACCACAGAACAAAATCTTCTGTATTATCAGTAGCTACAAATCTAAATTCTCTGTAATATTCTGCTTTGAAAATCAATCCTTAAAATGTCAAATAAGGCAATACTCAATGACAGGCACCTAAAACATCCAGAAATGTTCTATAGTAAACAATCATTTGAGAACACATCTCTTAAAATAATACTGATTTCTGCAATATACAGTATTTACATGACAGCTACAACTTTTTTCTCATACAATATTTCTAAGATAGATAAATAGGAGTACAAGTCAACGAATTTTTTGCTTCATTTTGAAAACCTTTTAAGTGTAAACCATTGACACCTCTCTTTTATTTTCACTGTAACTTTTTAAAAAAACAACAAAAAAAAATCAGCTAATATGCACAAACAGTTCCAGTCCTCTTTTCTGCTTTAGTGAATGACCAACATATTTAGCAACTGAACTCTCACTCGAATTAATCATCTTTGGTGCTTTCTTCTAATGGAATTCTGGGAAATGAGTCACTGCAGAACGGAAGGAGGAAGAAAGCAATGAGAAAGTGAACCAGCACTTTTTTGTTCTTCCATTGACAGACAAAAATGAGTTCGATGACCTAGAGAGATTCTTTTTTTTTTTTTCACTTTAAACTAGCTATATGCACCACGAGAAGGGGGAACTTGTCCTGATTTTCAGCCTTTGAGGTTCACGTTCTCATCTTGCCAGGGGGACCGATCTCACTGGACGTCTCTTGTCAATCATCTTTTCATCTTTCGTTGAGGTTCTTGTCTGAGCAGCACCGACGGCATCACTGACGGCCAGGAAGCGGGCAGCAGCCGTATGAGAGGATGAATTGAGGTGGCCGCTCTTCGTGGGTGGCGAGAGCAGCCTCACAGTCTTCCTTGCAGTTTGCTGAGATCTCCTCGGGGGTAAGGGAGCACCATCAGGTTTACTATTGGGTCGAAAAGCAGCATATGCGCCTGCACCTCCCGCCGGAGAGATCCTTCTCCGAGGTTCCTTCTTCTCAGCAGGCCCCTCTGATTGGTAAGGAACCAAAGATGTAGGCATGGTGAGAGATCCGGGGAGGTCACTGGGGTGGAAGAGAGCATCGTCGTGAGCTTCAGCAGCTTCCGGAAGGTAGGGCGGGGGTAGGGTGCTGCTCCGCTTGCTACAGGACTCGCAGCACAACTTGTTGTAGCCAGGGATGGAACAGTATCGCGCCAGCACCTCCATTTGACAGAATATGGACTTGTCTCCCAAACAAGGCTCATCTGCAAAAATGAAAAGGAAGCCAGTGAGGTGGATTAAACACAAACAGAGGGAAGGGGAATAAAATCGTTTATGACTATAAAAAGATAAGCGAAAGCTGATAGGAACACTCATAGGCGCATTTGCATTATTTTTGAATGCAAATTTATATTCTTATATTTTTATAAATGTTGTGGCTGAAGCGATAGCACAGCGGTAGGGCGTTTGCCTTGTGCGCAGCCAGCCCAGCCAATCTGGGTTCGACTCCTTTGCCCCTCTCGGAGAGCCTGACAAGCTACCGAGAGTATCTCACCCGCACGGCAAAGCCTGGCAAGCTACGCATGACGTATTTTATATGCCAAAACACAGTAACAACAAGTCTCAAAATGGAGATGTTACTGGGCCCGCTCCAGCAAATCGATGAACAACGGGAGGACAGTGTTTGTTTATTTGTGTTTATAAATGTTGGTGCTGGGGCAGTAGTCCAAGAGGTTAAGGTGCTTGCCTTGGTTCCATTCCTGGCACCACATGGTCCTCAGCTTTGCTCGGTGTAGCCCAGGAAACCATGAACATTGCTGAGTGTGGCCCTGGGGGCACCTGAGCATGTCAAGGGTGTCCAGGGAAAGTTCGAGCATCGTAGGGTTCAAGTAATGCCGTAGCTTCAGGACCTCTACTGAACCACTGACCCGAGTAGCTAAGACTCAGAGAATCACCACATTCCCCTGAGTACAGCTGAGGGGCTCCTCCCCAAGTCTGAATGTTTAAAGTGAATTCACTGCTCAAGGAAAGACCAGCTTATATTTATTCCCATCTATTCCAGGGTGCATTCTATGTGGAATATTCAAACAATAAATGCAAAAACTCATCAATATGCCATTTATATAATATCCTTACCTAAAAGTGACTACACAATGTATACTGCTAGGCAGAGAACTTGCTATATAACTTAAGAAATGGAATCTTTTTTTTTTCTGGTGAAGTTTGAAAACAAAGAGGAGGGCCAGGAATGTGGCATGCAAAAGACCAGGGTTTGATCTGCTAGTCTCTTTACACCACAGAAAGTAAATAAATAAATACATATAAAAACAAAATGAGGGGGCCAGAGCGATAGCACAACAGGTAGGGCATTTGCCTTGCACGTGGCCACCCAGGTTCAATCCCCGGCATTCCATATGGTCTCCCAGCACCGCCAGGAGTAATTCATTAGTGCAAAGCCAGGAGTAACTGCTGAGCATCACTGGGTGTGACCCAAAAAGAAAAAAAATAAACCCTCAAAAAAACCCCCAAAAAACGAAAACAAAATGAGGAGGGCCATTTGTTAACACCAACAGAGGACTTAAAATCACCCTCATTGATGTTTATTATGCCCACTTCCCAAGTTGTGAAACTTGGAAACAACTTGTATTTCCTTGAGAATTATCACACATAGCACGATGTACTTAAGAATTTTATATTAGGCAGGGCAATTAGTTAGCATCGTATGATTTAAATTCCCGAGAGATACCTCCAAGCGATATAATCTCTATCCTGTCTGAATTACTTTCTTTTTCTCTGTGTAATGACTCAAACTCGGTCTCACACAGGCAAGGTATGTGCTATACCACTGAGTCAAATCTCTGGGCTCAAGGTACTTTTCACATGTCTGTATCTTAAAATAAGAACATGGACATCTTCTTTCCATATGTTTATTACTCTAGGCCCTAGGATAAGAGTACCTTACTGAGCTGTGCACTCCGTTTTCACCTTGTTCCCTTCACCCCTCCCACCCCTCCCCTATGGCTCACACAGAAGTATGGTGTATTGTCTCTGAGTCCGTGTGATACTCGCCTGTACTGTGTAAGTGTCTGGATTATGCCTGCAGACACCAGTTCACAGTTTGCTGCTAATTAAGGCCAGCATATGCCACTGTGTGGAGAGTGAAGTAGAGTAAAGAATAAATACGAGAAAAGGAAGATAGGAATTCTATAGCTGTTTGCTAAGGAAAAGGTGGGAAGGGCTTCCATGCACAGTTTCATAGTATAATCAAAACAAAAAATTACAAAATAGTCATTAAAATCATTCATGAAAATTAAGGAAGTTTGTTAGCCTTCTCACTGGATGCCCGGATTATTATAAGAAATTCAGCAGAAGTTCTGCAGGTGGTCTCAAATGACCATTTGCTTCTTGTTGCAGTTTGAGACTCTGATGGGAATTATTATTTGATTGAAATGTGGCTAGAATATTTGGCTCTTAAAAATTCTTATAATTGACCTTGGGTTCTGATTTCAGAGCAAGAGGGCAGCTAAAAAGATGTGGAATCACTATTATAATTATGTAATCTCTTCACCTCTATTTATAATAAAAACACCTTCTTTGGGCTTACAGAAGAGAATCAAGCACATTTGCCTCCTGAGAATTTGGCATAGTTACAGAAATATATGGCTCATGTCTTTAAGAACCATTAGAACTTACTCAAAAAGTACTTACCTCCTAGACCAAGGCCTACATTAGAGTCAATATCAGGGAGACAGTAACCTTTCAGCTTCTAACCTGTAAAGTCTGTACTTTTATCTCTGACTTGTGCTTTAAACGTTCAGATATGGGCCAGAGAGGTAGTACAGCGGGTAGGGTGTTGGCCTTGCATAAGCCTGGCCAGATTCGATCCCAGGCACCACATATGATACCCTGAGCTCCACCAGCGGTGATCCTTGACTACACAGCCAGAAATAAGCCCTAATCATAGGAAGGTGTGGGCCCCCAAATAAAATAAAACAGACCAAAATGCCCATAAATTTTCAAATATATTTCTAAAGAAAATGAATGAAATATGTAAGTACTTTGTCTCCCTCTCATGGTCATATATGTAAATCTAGCATATATTTCAAATTAAAATTTCTAATAATTTGAAGCCTGACAATTCCTTTAAAAAATTTTAATAAGATAGTAGTAGCACAGCAGGTAGGGCATTTGCTTTGCACGCGGCTAACCTGGGTTCAATTCCTCCTCCACCCTTGGAGAGCCCGGCAAGCTACCGAGAGTATCTTGTCCACACAGCAAAGCCTGGCAAGCTCCCCGTGATATATTCGATATGTCAAAAACAGTAACAACAAGTCTCCCAATTTGTTGTGAGACATTACTGGTACCCGCTCGAGCATATTGATGAACAACTGGAGGACAGTGTTACAGTAGTTTGGCAATTTTTTTCTGAGAAAAAAGTAGTGCCATTCTGCATCTGTCAGTATGTAGGTACTGGCTCACTACGGGAAGAACACAGGACAAGAGAAAAAACATTTAATGACCCCCAAACTCACTAGCCTAAAGAGAAATGTCCACAGTTGTCATTACACATAAGAGAACTACATTTAACAGAGGACAGTGGTGAGTCAGGAAGACTGAGCAAAGCATGGAGAGCAGGGGAGGAGGTTTGAGACAGGGAAGAGCAAGTGGGACCCTTGAGAACGAGATGGAAACAATAGGCAGGGAAGTGGAAAGAAAAGAAAAGAAAAGAAAAGAAAAGAAAAGAAAAGAAAAGAAAAGAAAAGAGGAGAAGAGGGAAACAGAAAAACAATTGGAGCAGCAGAGTCACAGGGACCAGGAGAAACTAGGGAAGAAAGGTTCGGACGACGAGAATCGGGGGGTGAGGGAGAGGTGAGACAGTTCCATCATCATCAGACGCATAGAGTGGAGAAAGGGAGGGAGAGGGTGGAGAAAGGATGGGAGAATTCTGAGACAAAAATAAAGGGAAAGAGAGACAGAAAGAAGAGGTAAAAGAGAGGGTGAGGGAACAGGGAGCTGTTAGGGGATGAAAGAGGTTAATAGTGAAGGAGAGATGCTGGAAGAAATGGGAAGGAGAGGCAGATGGATGAAGAGGAGGCAGGGGAAGGGGAGTGAAGCTGAAGAGGCAGATGTGACAGACACAAGAAGTAATCAACATGCCACATGCTAATGACAGCGCGTCAGAGAGAGACTCACACAGAGAGTGAGTTAGAGAGGAACAAACTAGATGCAGAGCGGGACAGAGACATTTCGACAGAAAAAGTGACAACAAAGGATCAAGGAGGAAGAACTGATAGAAACTGAAATCATCTAGTATATTTTATTTTAAAACAGCAAAAGGATATAAATGAAGTAGACTTTAGAATAGGTACAGGGTGTGTATTTTTTTTTTCTCTTTGGGCCACATACAGATGACTCCTGGCTCTGTGCTCAGAGATCACTCCTCGAAGTGCTCTGGGGATCATATGTGGTGTCAGTGATTGAACCCAAGTCAGCTGCATGCAAGCCTTACCCCCCTACACTATTTCTCTAGCCCAATAGTTGTATTTTTAAAATCACCCTGGTGTATAGATATATACTAATGGACATGTACTGGAAATAATTTTCTGCACATGATATTTATCCTTATGGCTAAAGTGAATGAGCTGGTGACATTTTTGAAGGACTTCTGAAATTTTATGCCTTTTACTGGTATAAAGGCATATGAAAATCACAGGGAGAAATCAGTTCCTACTAGAAACAAAAATGGATATAAGTTACAGAAGCACTGTAGCACTGTCCTCCCGTTGTTCATTGATTTGCTCAAGCGAACTCAGTAACGTCTCCATTGCGAGACTTGTTACTGTGTTTGGCATATCGAATACACCACAGGGAGCTTGCAGGCTTTGCCGTGCTGGTGAGATACTCCCGGTAGCTTGCTGGGCTCTCCGAGTGGGGAGGAAAAATCGAACCAGGGTCGGCCGGGCCGGCTGCGTGCAAGGCAAACTCCTTACCGCTGTGCTATCGCTCCAGCCCGAGTTATAGAAACCTAACACAATTTACATCACCTCCTAGTGGGATCTCAGAAAGTGCAGGAGCCATGGTAATTAATGAGGGAACAACAAACGCACAAGTTAAAAAACATTAGAATATATTATACCAAGAATTAATTTATTTTTTTTCCTTTTTGGGTCACACCCAGAGATGCTAAGGGGTTACTCCTATCTCTGTATTCAGAAATTACTCCTGGTGGTGCTCGGGAGGCCATCTGGGATGCTGGGAATTGAACCCGGATCGGCCTTGTGAAAGGCAAACAGCCTACCCACTGAGCTCTAGTCCCCAAGAATTAATTTACAATTTTTTTTGACAGTCAGCATTTGGGGGAAGGTCCACAGAGGAAAGTTCATTTTCTTAGTCATAACTACCATGGTCAGAGAGGAAAACACCCAACGTCACACCTACCGTTACAGGGAGGGAGCTGACAGGCCCTCACAGACTCCGGCTTCTCACCCTCACAATGGTCTCCAGCCCTGCACAGGACCTGCCTGACCTCCGTCCCTTCACCACAGGTTACAGAACACTAAAGGAAAAGAAAAAGATTTTCATTAAAGATGTCTAATCCATGCAGACAGTTTTTCTTCTCTCTCCAGGCTACATGAACACACACGCATGCACACATGCACATACATCTATGGAACCATATTTTTCCTATTCATGCCCTGCCTCTTATGAGCCAGGACACAGTCGCTTTTTTCATTGAAAGCTGTGATACTACTACTGTGTCACAGGATTATTGTAGGACCAGATGGAAGTTAAAAGCATCGGTGCACTTAAAGCAGCCTTACCTGGTACAGAATAAACATTGGTTGTAAAGGAACCATTATTGTAACATAGAAGTCTTAACAACTCTGTTAGGGTCTGTTTTCAGGTTGCTGATGGTGTGGTATTGAGTGTTTATTCTTTGACTTCATTTGTGAATGGCAGAATTGACTGGCATACCACACTCTCTTTGTTTTTGGAACTACACTCTGAAAGAATTCTAGTTTTGTTTTGTTTTGGTTTGGGGGCACACCAGGATGTTCTCAGGGATGTCTCCTGGCTCAGTGCTCAGGGATCACTCCTGGCAGAGTTCAGGGTGCTGTAGATTGAAACCAGGTCAGCTGCATGTAAGGAAAGCATCTTACCTCTGGAACTACCACTCCCGCCCTAAAGCACAGTGTTTTAAAAGAAATGTGTGCACTAGAAAGACAAATACCAGAATGCATGAGGTTAATACCAGCAACCATACATTGATTTTTCTGTTTGTTTGTTTTGGGGACCATACTCAGTGATATAAAGAATTATTCCTGGTGGTGCTTGGAGACCAGACGGGGTACTGGGGATTGAATCTGGGTGGGCTGTGTGCAACGCAAGCACCTTAACCACTTGCTGTACTATCTCTTCAGGCATAAGCGACAAATTACTGATTGAGCCAGTCATGAAACTCCATCATCTGGACAGGCACTAGGCACACAATTTCTTTGGGCTTTTTGTTTGTTTTGTTTTGTTTTCTGGACCACACCTGGCAGTGGTCAGGGCTTACTCCTGGCTCTACATTCAGGGATAACTCCTGGCTATGCTTAGGGGACCACATGGGATCAAATCCTTGTCAACTGCATGCAAAGCAACTGCCCTACTACTCCAGCCCTAAATACACAATTGTTCAAAGAAATGTGTGGTCACCTCCAGCCATCTTTTTCTTTAGTGATCCCTTCTCTATCGGTCGGGATGAGAGATGTGTGCAGAAAATAGATAAGGGACCAAACATGATAACCTCTCAGGGTCTGTATTGCAAACCATAATGCCCAAAAGTAGAGAGAGATTATGGGGAAACATGTCTGCCATGGAGGCAGGGGGAGGGTGGGAAAGGGGGGGGTATACCGTGGATATTGGTGGTGGGGAATGTGCACTGTGGAGGGATGGGTGTTTGATCATTGTGTGATTGTGACCCAAACATGAAAGCTTGTAACTATCCCACGGTGATTCAATAAAATTGAAAAAAAAAAAAGAAATGTGTAGACAAGAAAAACAGGAATTCTATTAATTTGCTGTGCAGGCCATGACAGCAATAAAGTTCTCTGACACTGGAATGCAGAGGAAAAAAGACTGCAGGAAAGGTACCCACTGGTACTCTGGATCCTGGAAATGAGCCTTGTTAGATAAAACATTGGAGGTTCACAGGGTGGGGGGTGGGGGGAAAACCAACCAAAATGTAGAAGACACAAATCACCATGCTCTTTTGTGATGAGTTTACTCACTCTGTCATAAAGAAGAAGGAAGAAGAAGGAAGAAGATGAAGGAAGAAGAAGGAATAAGCAGGAAGAACGAAGAAGAAGGAGGAGGGTGAGGAGAAGGAGGAGGAGGGCGAGGAGAAGGAGGAGAAGAAGAAGAAGGAGGAAGAGGAGAAGGAGAAGAAGGAGAAGGAGAAGGAAGAGGAGGAGGAGGAGGAAGAGGAAGAAGGAAGAGGAAGAAAAAGAAAGAAATTCAATTTTAAATGGTGCAGAATTCTCATTCAGAATCAAGGGAGCTGGAGTTTAACCTCTAAGAATAACAAAGTTCACGAAAATATTAGAATGGCCAGTCACCTGTCACAACACCCAAATAAAGTTTGCCTCCACCCTTTAATTTTATATGCAAAAACTTTTTCAAATGTTCCTATTCTCTCCCCCCCCCACCCCCGCCCATGCCTCAGGAGTTTAATGATAACGAGACAGTTATTCCACTTAGACAAAACAACCTAATATTTAAGTCACACCAGAACCCGCTCCACATGTTTAATGTACATGCATATGCATATAACACATCTGAACGCACAGAAATCTCACACGCACCTCATTCCAGGGCCCTGTTTTCCACTGGGCGGGGCAGGGGACCCTGTTACACGGCCGTCGGCTCTCGGGACGGTCGCCCACGCAGTACTTGCTGTGCACAGAACGATTGGTGCCATCGTGGAGGGGTTGCAAGCAGCGGACGGTGCGCAGCTGGTAGCCAGAACTGCCACAGGTTTTGGTGCAGTGCTCCCACTCTTCTGCCACCCAGCTGAAGGGGTAGAATCAAGATTCGACACAGTCACTGTGACAGCTACTGGGACCGTTCACACGGCAAGCCTATCCTATTCTGTTCTTTGCTGCTAAACCCAATGGGGTACACGACTGTTTCAGAGCAATTTCAGAAAAAATAAATAAATCCAACGGTTCAAATGTCTGAGGATTTTTCCAATCAATGTAAAGCCTGTTGTATGGTTTTAAATATTCTGGTATTTTTTTTTCTAGCTCTCAATGGTTTTGAAACCATCTCTTTCACCACAGAATGGGTGGTCTAGGAAGGGTTTCTGATACTCATCTGAAGATTGTCTGGGTTAGTTGGGTTAGTTTGGGAATGACGGTGCTTTGTCTTAGTCATACTGCCAGTGAGAGGTCTAAAAGGAAATACAAACGGGAATCTACATGATGTTTGCTGATATAAATGGATTTGGCTGAGGCTTTCTTATTTTTTAAATGAATCACAAGTTCACTCGTGTTTTAATTTTCTGGAATCACAGTTTCATTTCTACATTTTCTTATTTCAATGCTGTGGAGGCTATAAGACATATCAAGCTTTTCTGGAAAACTCAGTTCTTCCTATTGGTTGTAATTGTCACAAAACAAAGAGAAAGACACCCTGTATCTGGGCACTGGGTAAGTGTGTTACTGCTTCCATAAATAAGCCTGGAGAAGCATTTCCAAAGATATAGTTTATACTTATATTTTATATTATCTTTCCCCATATATAGGGTACTAAAATATAACTATATTAAAATCTTGGCAACACTTGGTATTTACAAATAAGATTGCTCTAACTAATCAAACTGACATTAAAATTATTGTGGCTTCTACAAAAGGGAATGCCCTACCACAGAGGCAGGGTGGGATGGGGGGGATGGGTGTGGGAGGGATACTGGGATCCATGGTGGTGGAAAATGGGCACTGGTGGAGGGATGGGTATTTGATCATTGTATAATCGAAACCCAAGCACAAAAATTTGTAAATCTACAACTGTACCTCATGGTGTTTCACTAATAAAAATTAAAAAAAAATTATTGTGGCTTCTAAGAATTTTTACACAGTGTTAAGCGTGCCAATGGCTACTCTCAATGGATATATGCATATATGACATACATCACTGTCACTGTCACTGTCCACACATTGTTCATCGATTTGCTCGAGTGGGCCTAGTAACACTGTGAGACTTGTTACTGAGTTTGGCATATTGAATATGCCACGGGTAGCTTGCCAGGCTTTGCCATATGGGTGAGATACTCTTGGTAGCTTGCCGGGCTCTCCGAGAGGGGCAGAGGATCGAACTCAGGTCAACAGAGTCAGCCATGTGCAAGGCAAAAGCCCTACCTGCTGTGCTATTGCTCCAGCCCCATGACATACATAATCACATATATATTTTCAATTTAAAATCTTTTCATATATTTCTCATGAAGATACTAAGATTACAAAATAATTATAAATACTAATTTATCAGATAAAATTTATATACAAATAGATAAGAAAAAGAATATGAAGGGGCTGGAGCGATAGCACTGTGGGTAGGGCGTTTGTCTAGCACGCAGCTGATCTGGGTTCGATTCCCAGCATTCCATATAGCCCCTCAAGCACCGCCAGGAGTAATTCCTGAGTGCATTGTGAGGCCCCAAAGCAGGCTCCTCAGCAGCCATGACAGCCTATAGCTAACATTAAGTCTCAACTAGGCCTCAGTTTCTGTTTCCCCAAAGCAGGACTTGCAGTTTCTGGTAAACTCCCAGTTGAGTGACTTGCCAAGATAAGGAATTGGGCAGTTGAGTCTGGCCAGTCACGAGGGGTCACTGTATCCTCCTTAGAAACTGTTGCTAACCATTTCCTAATTGTTGACCACCACTGTAATAGGGTAAATACTGAAAATAGATCAGTGTATAAATTGCCTCTTTGAACCCTAAATAAAGTGCTGGTGATTTGGAGTTAGGGTCCTTGTCAAGACTCCACTGTGTCGGATGAGTCTTAGACCCTATCTTGAGCTAGCGCTGGCTTGCACCAGTAATAAAGTTCCTTTGCTTTTGCATTATCATGTGTAGACTTGGTCTCTCTGCAATTGGGGATTGGAGATCTGAAACATGGGCACAATAGCATGAGCCAGGAGTAACCCCTGTGCATCACTGGGTATGACAACCCTCCCCCCAAACAAAAGAATACGAGAAACAGGAGATCTAATAGAAAAGGGAAATAGTAGAAATTCCTAAGATGATGATGATGTCCAGGAAGAAAGCTGTATAAAAATGTCAGGCCAGAGTTGGATCACATTACTCTCTAGAGATGTCTCTAAGAGCTCAGTGACAAAATACCTAAGTGCCCAGTATTTAATGGAGACTAGTACAGATGGAAGACAGTTAAGGTGAATATTAGTGAAAAGTAGTAGAAAATGAAATATATAAGTCAAAATTTTCATCAACTCTAGAAGAAACACAATCATGAAACACTAAGTTCAGCTCTTCGGAAGTGTATGTTACTAAAATAATATAAAATGAATACTTCTATCAATGCAAGATAGTTATTCTATTTTGGAAGTACTGGACAAGGGAGAATTATGGAGGGGCAGTGAGGTAATTGGGGAGTGGTTGTGAGGAATGCTGAAATATCACATTCCAGATAGAAAACTCAATATACATAAATCTAAAATCTCTCCTTTTCTTTCTACTCCCAAAAAAGTCAACTAATGGAAGCAAAGTTGATTACTTACATGGGAACAAGTAGTTACAAATTTCCAAGAGAAGCATACAAGCTAAATGGTTCTGTTTGCTTGATTGCTTCTTTGTTATGAGAAGTGTAACAATGACAAAGGGCAGAAAACTATAATTTTATATAGTTCCTGGAAAATAATTTGACCAGTGTGACCAGGTTCATGTGTTAACTTTTAACTAAAAATTAAGACAATGAAGATATAGATCCATTTAAATGCTATTATTTTATCCTGAGGATATGAAAATCAGAATAAATTCTTACAGTGGATGTGTACACTCTTGAATGTTGCACATTCTTCTGATCGGTTTAGGTTTTTTGTTGGCCTCACAGAAGCTGCGATGAACCATCTTATTGTCACTTTTCCTACGGCATCCATATTTAGTGTATTGAAAACCTGGAAGGGAAAAATTTAGCTTTGGAGTACATAGACTAAGCTGGGTGCTATTCTAGGCACGGGTTTCAGAAATTAAAATTTTAATACCTTTATCTTTTCAGACTTTACATTTAACATATCATCAATTATTTAAAGAGAAATTGCATCCTTGAAAATGAACTAAGACCAGGATATGCACAGATGAGAGAGAAATGGCTCTAAGAGGACCCAGACAATATGCAGTGACATATTGAACACTTTCACAGAGCTATGAAGACAACGTAACTGCAGAGGGCACCAAAGGAACACACAGGAAACAGTCTAACAACCCAGACAGCAGGAAGACTGAGGAAGTACCAGCACTTGAACAGACTCATTAGTTTAAAATAAACAGTATTGGGTAAAGGGAATGGAGTAGCACAGTACTGAAGCAAAGCAAATTACATATAGAAAACTGAAAGAAGCTTTAAAAGACTGAAAGTGAAAATGACTGAAATGTGTCATAGGAGGTGGAGGTGGAAAACTAGACTGAAATCTTAAGTACCAAACAAGTATTTGGAGTTCAATGCTGGTAATTTTAACCTTCAACTTTGATATTTATAATAAAAAAATGTTGGAAAATAAATTTAAATGGATTGTTATGTAAATGCAATTTTTCATTATGAAAAATGATGTAAGGAAAGGCCCTCCCGTTGTTCGTTGATTTGCTGGAGCGGGCCCAGTAACGTCTCCATTGGAGACTTTGTTGTCACTGTGTCTGGCATATCGAATACGTCACGGGGAGCTTGCCAGGCCCTGCCGTGCGGGCGTGATACTCTCGGTAGCTTGCCGGGCTCTCCGAGAGGGGCGGAGGAATCGAACTCGGGTCGGCCATGTTGGCTGTGTGTAAGGCAAACACCCGCACAGCGGGTAGGGCGTTTGCCTTACATGCGGCCGACCTGAGTTCGATTCCCAGCATCCCATATGGTCCCCGAGCACCGCCAGGATGTAAGGAAAACAATGAATATTTGTGTATCTCGCAAAGTCAACATTGTGCTGCCACTGTATTTGCTGATATATTTGAAAACATATTTTTATTACTTATACTATGTTATTATATAATATGAAAAGGTAAAAGTTATTGCTGAAGTATTTCAGTATAAATTTCTGACAATCTATTCCTTCACTTCTAAATATTTCAGCACATAACTTCTAACAAACATTCTCCTGCATAATCAGATTCTAATGCTTAGAATCAAGGTATTTAAAATAAGTATAAGATTATTATCTAATTACAGAACAAAGCCAAAACTTGCCATTTGTCCCTACAATGTTCTTTACAGCATTTTCTACTATTATGCATTGTTATTAACATGTAGTTTTTAACTTCCTTTTTTCTTCAATATTACTAAGATGTATAGGCCAGTTCTTTTTTATTATCTCTTATAACTAGGATTTATGAAATGTTTCTTAATGTTTAAATTTAAGTTACTCATTGTAGCAAAAATGCTAAATAAATAAGATATTCCTGGTAATACATAAAAGACTGAGGAATTTGAATGAGACAAATAATGTAATCCTACCCATTTAGTCATTCAAGAAAGTACCACAGAAATGAAAGAAGAAAAGAGAATCAAAGTTTAGTAATTGAAAATTTATAATATTTTTCCAAATTGAAGGAAGCTTACTGAGCAAAGAACAGATGTGATAAGTATTAAAGTCTCCCTGAAAAATGTAATGACCAAGTAGATCTTGAAGGTATAGTAGAAGGATGGATCCAAATTAAATAAGAATAAACACCTTATAAAGAATGAAGTATTATTTTAATAATTAAAACATTATGTCTTCTACCCAAAAAACCACTTTAGAAATAACTTCTTTAAAAATTGTGAAAATTAAATTAAAACTTATAAAAACTTTATACTTTATAACACGACTCTTGATAAGTATGTATAATTAATTTTTCCAAGTAAATCTTACTATGAATTCCTATTATGAATGATTAATTTTTCCTCAAAAAGTATTATTGTGACATCCCCTCACCTTCTGCCTTTGGGAAGAAATCTGTCTAGGTCAGCTCAGTTTGGGAGCATTTGTTCTTGAGAACTAGAAGAATGAATAATGGGAGATATTGAGAATCTGTGAGAGCAATTTACTAGGTTGCTTCTGGAGAGAGCAGCGAGGAAGCATTAGAGCGTACACTCAGAAGCCAGACTTCTTGGGTCTGTACACTAAGGTCTGGCAAATTACTTATTTTCCTTATACTCCAGTTTCCTCATCAGAACTATAACAATACTACTAGTCTCACAGAGCCATTGCGAGCATTAATACATTAATACACAAAGAGCTGAAACAGAGTACAACTAGTAGTTTTCTTATTATTAGAAATAATAGAAAAGAAATGGAAAAATGGGGAAGAAAAAAGGCAAATTCCAGAGGATAGAGTAGAGTATGGAAAGAGTGAAATGATTACAGTCATTTTATTACTTGAATGTCAGATAAAAAGAAGTCAAAGGAGAAGAGTAAGAGGATTTTAAGATCAATCATTGTTATGAACAAGTTACTATTCTTTGAAAATTCTAAGATTAAAATGCTATATACTTACAGTTCAGTCATTATATTTATTTCTGAATTTGGTCTCAACTGAAGACAATCCTTAAGGTAGAAGCAGGTAGACTTCATATGAGTGACATTGCAATACAATAAATGAGTTCAATTATTACCTCCACCACAGGGTTTGGAACACTGAGACCAGCTCTTCAAAGCCCACTCAAAAGTGTCTAATTCCTCCTGGATGACATTGTTGTTGTTGATTGTAGGAGCAGAGTCTTCATGGATGATGTACTTATATGTCAGGCTAGAGCGGGTATCATTATCCTGAGGTATAATCTAACATATACACAAAATTGATATGAAAATCACCAAAAAAAAGTTCCAACCCAGATTCATCAGCCACCAAAATCCCACCACCAGGATCAACTTCCCTCAATCTCAGTTCCCTCCCATACCCACTGCCCCATCCCCTGCCTGCCACCGTTACAGGCACGTTTTTTTTAAAAGTTAAACCACTGTGAAGTACACAGAAAGTTGTTCATGATTGGGTTTCAGTCATACAATAGCCCAACACCCAGCAGACACCCCCCCCACACATGTTGTTACTAGATGGTTATTATGCATATCACATTACCTCCTTTCAGCATTCAGTTATTGCTCACAGTGATCTCTGTCACAGTGGTCTCTTTCTGTCCTAACTGCCTTCTCCACAACTTGTGAGAAGCTTCCTACGATGGACCAATCCTCTTGGCCCTTGTTTCTACTGTCTTTGGGTATAATCCTCATACTGTATTGTTAGTGTTTTTTTTCCTTGTTTTGTTTTGTTTTGTTTTGTTTTTATTCTGCAAATGAGAGTGATCATTCTATGTCTTACAGGCATATTTTAAAGTTTGAAAGTTGTTGAAGTTTGAATCTTGTGATTTCAGCGTTGTAGAGTTGGCGGTTGGATAGATAGCTATACCACTCCACTACACCATTGATGTGCCCAAGAATACTTGTCTCTTGTCCAACTTTATTGCTTCCCATCATCTCTTCTTACTTCCCTTACTTCACTTTTTCCCTTTTCTGTTCTTCTTTCTGTACTCTGGGGTAAAGAGTGATCCAAACAAACCCCAAACACAATAAAAAGCTTGTGAGCAATCCTCTAAGACCTTTTGCTAGCCACGTGACAGAGCAGGAAAGCTTCTTCTTCCCAGTTATGCCTTAGTGTAACTAAGGCAATCGCTAAAAACAATATCATGATAACCCAAACTCTAGTTGGACTTAATCTGCTCCCACATTCTTGACTAACAAAACCATGAGCTAAGAAAGGTTGCTTATGTTTAATCACTGAATTTGGGGTAACTTGTTACACAATGACATACAACTAATACAAACATACATAGACTGAAATAAGCACCTAATATAAACAAATTTTATGTAAGCACTCGTTGACTTAAAATGACTCAGAAACTTCATTCAGGTCAAAATATTTTTTCTTTGGGGGGTTTAAAGGTTTTATGGTTTTGCATTTTATATTTCACATATCTATTTGTGTAACATTAAAATCTTGATTTATAGAATGAAAAATGGATAAACTGGATTTCCACAAAGTAAAAAATATTTTTCTCTGTGAAAGACAACACAGAGAAAAATATTACAGATTAAAAAAAGTGTGCAATGGCCATGGCCCCAGAAGCACAAGGACTTAATGCAGAACCCAGCAGCTTGGAGCAGAAAAGTGAACGGACTATGCGTTGATCCAGCCCATCAAGTCTGCCGGAGGGGAAAGGGTGTTGCCCCATTCGCCCTCTCCTCTCTGGAAAGAAAGATGGCGGCCACATGGGAGCCTTGTGGACAGCAGGTATGAGCCGGGAGTGTGGGGGCGACTAAAACCTCATGGGAAGGGGGGCGTTTCGCTCCGCCCTTCACGCCCTACCGAGGCCACCAGTTGCCCCCCACGAGCGGCTCTCCAGCACGGCCACGACTCCAGAACACAGAAACCAATTTCTTAACTATCTGACTTTCAGTAGAAATACTTCCAGGGTCAATAGGTAAAATAGCAGAAATCCAAAACCAACATTTAATTCTTGAACCCAGCTGTAGAAAGCAAATCACTTCACAATGCTTTTTCAGCATGTCTGATTTGGGGGGGGGGGTAAACTCTAAATAATAGTGGTGAATCTTTTATTGAAACAATCTAATCAAAGCGGATAGAGTGTTAACTAGAATTCATCTGCCTCACAGGGACGGGGAGGGGTGGGGGGTGGGGTTTTATTGGGGTTCTTCATGGGAAAAAATAAGTATTGGTAAAGGGAAATGTGTTTGATATTTGCATGACTGAGACATAAACCTGAAAGCTTTGTAACCTTTCCCACAGTGATTCAATAAATAAATTAAAAAAAAAAAAGTGTGCAAATGATCTTTTACAGAGGATGCATAGACAATATATGTAAATAACTCAAAATCCAACTAAAGGCAGAAAACAACCTACTCCAAAAATAGAAATATTTGCAGAGTAAGGGAAACAAAAAAAATGCATATCAGAATTGAATGGAAAATCTGTTTTAGTTTCATGCAGTATTTTTATAGACAATTAAATCAGTCTATACAGAATCCAACACTTCTTTTCAAATAAAATAGATCAATTCCATTTTCATCCAGATTAGAAATGAGCTAAGAGCACAGAATATATCAAGGAATGTCCTTGGGGAACTATAAATAATACCACAGAGGGCTGCAATTCTCTGGAGAAGAGACACAAGACATGTGCAAACACACAAGCCTTGTTCTATGCCAAAGCATAGGGAGCAGGAGACCGAAGCAGGGCAACGCTCTCAGCAAGCTGAGGTCTCCCCAGCAAGCTCACCATGGAGGGTAGAGTTTAGAACCTGTAGGTGGGGGCGCCACAGAAGGGGTTTCACAGAAAGGGGGCCCAGAAGGCAGTGCCTGTCCCCGATGGAGGATTGGCCGGTGCTTGCCCAGGTTCAGTTACATGAGTTCAGTCCATGGCACTGCAGGATCCTCCCAGCATCACCGGGAATGACTCCAGAGCACAGAGCACAGAGCACCTTTGAGTACCATCAGGTGTGGCACAAAAATAAACAAAATATTCTAACCATTGACCAGTTCTCCTGGCCCCTGTTTTCAAAGGTTGGAAGCTTGCCCTAAGTGTGTGTATGACAGGGTGAAGAGCAGTTAAGATAGAGAGGGAAACAGTATGACAATAATAGTTGGAAATAATCATTTTGGACAGAAACTGAGTGTTGAAAGTTAAGGTTAAGGGATATACCTGATAATGTATCAGTATCTGTATTGCAAATCATAAGGTCCAAAAGGAAAAGAGAGAGAGAGAGAGAGAGAGAGAGAGAGACAGACAGAGACAGAGACAGAGACAGAGACAGAAAGAGAGAGAGGAAAATACCGGCCATAGAGAACTGAGGGAGGGTAGAAATTGGAAAAGTGGGGTCATTGGTGGTGGAATATGTACACCAATAAAGGGATGGTTGTTGGAACGTTATATGACTGAAACCCAATCATGAACAACTTTGTAATTTTGCATCTCACTGTGATTTAATTTAAAAATTAAAATAAATAAAACAAAACAAACACATGCATGTAGATGACTTCTAAGACAGAAAAGAGCCATGAAAGAGGAGGGGATCATAATGAACTTGGATTATGATCACATTGAACTTGGATTATGACAACATTGAATATTTTACCCAAATTTGGCAAAAAACTATAAAAATCTACAGAATTGTGTGCATGGTTAACCTCAAGAAGGAGGCATACAAGGAATATCACCCACTATGCAAATCACGGACAACAGGCAGTGTAATCAAAAGGGTAGAGAGAAGTCTTCAAAAGAGCCAGAGAATCCTGACATATTGCATATAGAGCAGCAAAATAAATGATAATGTCATTGTAAATGATGAAAACTGGAAGACAACTGCTATGTGATTGAAAAGATGGCTCATATTCCATCTTTCTTTATTTCTTCACAGCAGGCTGAGATTTCCTTTATTCTAATGCCCTCTGACATCACATCTGAATGCTAACATACCCTGTTGTTTGCATTATTGAGTTCACATTCTTATATGTCCCTAACAAATCAACCCATTGGTTTGTAGCTGTAACAACTCCAAATGGATGCTGTCAACACACAGATATTTCTATTGTGCTGTAAGCTGGTATCATCTGGATGAATTAAAGTGGGGAAACCTCACTTTACTTCATTCTTTCCAGGATCATCTTTGCTCTTGAATCCTTCCTGAATATAGCCTACCACAAACTAGCAAAGGTATCTCTCAAGGAAAACTTGTGTGCTATTCTGTAACACACATGACTCTCCAAATTCTTCAAACCCCACACAATGATGTAAAACCATCTTGAAAAACATCCTGGGGTAAGTGGGTAGGAGAGATAGTACAAGGGGATGAGCTTTCCTAGCATGCAGCTGACACTGGTTCAATTGCTAAGTACTGCCTGTAGTCCCTGAACAAAGCAAGAGTAATCCTGAGTGCCTCCAGGTGTGACCCTCTCTCCTCCCCAAAAGCAAAGAACCTCAAATTTTATATCTAGTGAAGTCATCAATTAAGAATGAGGGTGAGGGGCTGGAGCAATAGCATAGTGGATAAGGTGTTTGCCTTGCATGCGGCCAACCCAGGTTTGATTCCCAGCATCCCATATGGTCTCTTGAGCACCGCCAGGAGTAATTCCTGAGTGCAAAGCCAGGAATAAACCCTGAGCATCGCTGAGTATGACCCAAAAAGAATAAAAAAAAGAATGAGGTTGAGGTAAAAATATTTTCAGAAAATTAAATGCTGAGAACATTCTTAGCTTGCATACATAGAAATGAATAGTCCACAAAGATTAACAGAGAAGAGTAAGAACATCAGAGACAGTAAATTATGTGAGTACATATAAAATTCTGCTTTTTCTCTTTTTGTCTTAATATAGCATGATTACTAAAGTCATATCATAAAACTATAGTATCAAGTTTATAATATGCATATAGTGAAGTATATGATATAGTTTCCCAGAGAGAAAAAGGACATAGTAATGGAATTATAAATAACATGCAATAAATATTCAATGTTAATGGTAAAAAGATTTTCTGCTTTCTTAGTTATAAAGTTGTAAACTAAAGTACATGGTGAGTCAGTAAAGTCACATACCAAAACAATAACAGGATCATGTAAAGGTCCATCGGTGTGAAGAGTTTCAATGTCATCTTCAATGGTATAATCCCATTCCACACCAAGATCTATGAAAGTCCTAGACTTGGCTTCCTCCCCTTTGCCATTTAAAATGTAGTGGCCTGTGGCTTGGTTCTTGATAGCTAAAGGAAGGAGAATGAGTAACTGACACATTTTATTTGACATATGATAGCCCTGATGATCTATAGTCAGTATCTCCTCTTAGAAGTAAAAAAGATTCTTTTATTTTGCACTAAAGTAATTAAATGAATTTTGCTTCTCATATTCTTATTCTCTTAATTAGGTATTCAAAATCCTTAAGAAGCTTTTCTTTCCAGTCTAAAAACACAACAAAATGATTTAATAGGAGGGGGAAAAGGGCAAATTTCCCATTTTGATCACACCATCAAAAGATTAACTATTTTTAATGATCTGTTTCTAATGTATCATGATATTTCTCCAGAAAGCTGGGAATGCTTTTTAGGTAATGGGCATTTATCTAATAGTTCACATTAATCACTGATGGCAGAGTGGTCTGTATATAAAATGGCTTCCTTATTCAAGGTAGTAAAAATATTTACAGGTATCCCACATAGCTGAGCTAATCTATAGCAGGGATAGTCAATGCATATTAATTCCTATAGTTGTAAAATTCCAAGGCCATATCAACTCTTTAATGTGACTTGGGAAAACTTCTTACTAGACATCAAATCCTTAATCTATTATAAAATAAAATTATTTCTCTATTGAATAAAAATAACAAACAATTTAAACTTTGGAGGTGTTTATCAACATACAGAAATATGTTAGAAAATAAAATGTCATTATTTCCATTTTTGAAAATGTATTAAGAAATTATATCAGTTATTTTTCAATAACAGTTACATTCAACTATTCCTTTTGAACATTTAAGCTAGTCTAATTTTCCCAAGGATAAAATTTGAGCTTGGGTATGTGTGTGTGGTCTTGGTGATTGAACCCATGGCTTTAAATGCACAAGAGAAATGTTCAACCACTAAGGATAATGATTTGAATTCTAACATTAAAAAAAATATTCCTGGAGATATAAGTTTGGCTGCAGGCTACACTCTTATGGAATCCATCACTGTATCACTGTCATCCTGTTGTTGATCGATTTACTTGAGTGGGTGCCAGTAATGTAACATTCATCGCAGCCCTGAGATTTTAGCAGCCTTCTCCTTGATTGTCTTTCCCAGTGCTCCCATATTGGAGGCTCTTTCAGGGTCAGGGAAATGAGGCCAGTTATTGTTACTGTTTTTGGCATATCGAATATGCCACGGGTAGCTTGTCAGGCTCTGCAGAGTCCACGGTGAATATAATTTAGCTGCTAAAAACAACCCACAATTACATAAATATCATTAAACAATTTATTGTAAAAGTCACACATTAAGAATACTTTAACAGGGGCTGGAGCAATAGCACAGTGGGTAGGGCATTTGCCTTGCACGTGGCCGACCCGGGTTCAATTCCCAGCATCCCATATGGTCCCCTGAGCACTGCCAGGTGTAACTCCTGAGTGCAGAGCCAGGAGTAACCCCTGTGCATCGCCAGATGTGACCCAAAAAGCAAAAAAAAAAAAAGAGAATACTTTAACAGGGGGTTGGAGAAATAGCACAATGGGTAAGACTAGTACCTTTGAATTGGCTGACCAAAATTCAATTCCTGGCACCCTATGAGGCTCCCCATCCCTGCTAGAGTGATCCCTGCCTAAGTGCAAGCCAGGATTCAGCCCTTAGTACCACTGATTATGGCCCCCAAACAAACAAACAAAAAGAATAATTGGCCAAATTTTCATAAGATTGACACATGATGCATTAGTTTCAAAAACCTGAGCACTTAGGTCAAGAATATGTACAAAGTTTACACTTGGAAACACAGTTCGAATATAACTTCTTTAAAATAATCTACCAGACACAAAAAGAAAAAAAAACAATCTTCCTTTGGAAATTGTAAGCATTCATGTGAATGTATCTGCATGTGTCAGCTAGTGACGCATAGTAGATACAAGAAACAGTCTCCTTCACATGTGGCTACTGTTCAGCCAAGAAACATAAAATGCAACAAAAGTAAGGCCAAGACTACAGTATTGCACCAACCAAATATCAGAAATAATTTGTCAGTACAACTATGGCAAAGTTTTCTGATATTATTCCTTAGTTTATTGCATTTTATTAACATTATTATTTCTTATCCCTTTTACTATAGAGCAAGCTACAGAACAAATACAATTTTGTTCAGTGATTTTTTTCCCCCCTCCCGTAATAAAGCTCTATTTTGGGATATTTTTTGTTTTAAAGGATGGTTGGGAGGAATGACCAATAAAACCACATAATCAAGCATTTAGATATAATTCTGAATCTTGCATATCCATGTATATAAAAGTATATACATACAGATACACATGTACATATATAGAGCAATATATGTATAAGATTTCTTTGACATTTCAATGTCTTAGTGCATGTTAAAGGAGGCAGTGGACAGAAACACTTACCAAGAATATGAGGAGAAGCCTCGTCTTCTTGGATTAACACATGTCTAGCACCAGGGGGTATATCAAACATCTTAAGGTACCCTTTGCATGTGTCGCAAATACAGGGGGAAGCAAGCAAAGAAGAAAACAAAAGCAATAACCATGGTTAGTCTAGCTTTACATTCTGACTACGTCTGCCGGCAGAAGAGGGCATCCATAAACTGAAAGAAGCAGTTTCAGAAATTAAGTTCAAAGCATCGGTAGCCAACTGTAACATCTAGTCTGAAGAAACTTAATCATGTATCCAACCTATGAATCACTTAAGTTGTACTCACCTACAAATTGCGTTAATAATAATTGAGGTAAATGCTTTATTTTGTTGTGTCCCTCTACAGGATTTTAGTTGCTGAGTCGTCCTTTTAAAGTAGGGTCAGTTTTGAGGTTACTTAGTTAGTGAACTCACTGAGATTCTCTTCATACTTATATGTGTGTGCATTTGTCCGGGAGTGATTTGACGATGGGCTGGAGCGATAGCAAAGTGGGTAGGGCATTTGCCTTGCAAGTGGCCAACTTGGCCGACCCGAGTTCGATTCCTTTGCCCCTCTCGGAGAGCCTGGCAAGCTACCGAGAATATCTCGCCTGCACGGCAAAGCCTGGCAAGCTACCCATGAAATATTCTATATGCCAAACACAGTAACAACAAAGTCTTACAATGGAGACGTTACTGGGCCCACTCGAGCAAATCGATGAACAATGGAAAGACAGTGACTGACAGTGATTTTACAATAGGCAATTCTAATCACATATTTTATGATTAAAATCTGATTTAGAGTTAATATGTTACAAATGAAAATTAATCCAATGTGTAATTTTTATTTTCTCAGCAATTAATTTTAGAGCTTGAAGTGGGGTATAAAATGGAAATGTTTTAAAATGTAAGCTGTAGATTTTGAGCTAATCACTTGGTCAGAAAATATCTGCAAATTACAACGTATACTGCCTTTATCTGAATCCAATAGAATCTTTCTAATTCAGCCTAATTTCTAATAAAATAAATGTTTATCTATGTAATGTACTGGCTTTTAAAAGACTAGAGGTATGACCATAGTCAATGTCATATAAAACAAATGACATTTTAGTATTATCACATATCCTAAAAATTAGGATAAGTTAATTAGAGTTAAGACAAATGATATATTGTGAATTATCTAATTTATATGCGGTAGGATTTGTTGATAAAATAATCATAAGTAGATATTGCTGATGAATTCAGAAAGAAAATGTCACTTGTATGTGGACAATTAATATATACCTATTGGAAGAGTCACCAACTTTTTCACTATTTATTATGGCTCTAACTAGAGTGTCATGTTGAGGTCTTTGTTCTCAATACCTGAGAAAAAGTCAAGTCAAATACATGTTCTCCTGTTTCCTGTATAAACAATGGCTAGAAGTTACACATGTGAGGTGCCAAGTTCAGCAAAACAGCTTGATGTCATTTATGGATGCCCATCTTTTCTGCGGTTTCCTATAACTTACCCAATACATTTTTAGCTTCCCTTGTTTCAGCAAGAGAAATATTACGAGCTCCTTTGGGTAAAGTGAAGGCGCCTCTTGTCTTCCCTTAAATAGAATGTTTTTCATTAGTTGCAGGTTCTATGTTTATCAAAGTCTTGCTGTTTCATTGACTATACAATAAGTTTTATAGATTTTATTAAGTGAAATGTAAAACACATCCTTTAATTTTATGTCTTGAATTAAAATTCACTTATATTAGATGTTAATAGTCAATGAAAGTAAGACTATGAGTGAATGAAAAATGATATAGGTGATTTGAAGGTGAATACTTGCAGATTTCATTTTCCAGCAACTTGAATTCTTTATGGCACCTCTTGCTTAAATGTTTCCCTGTTGGAAAAGGTTAATTAGTCTATTGAATAACTAAGATAACAACATTGGTGCAAAGAAACAGATGTTAGATTATTTTTGTATGGTTTGAATCTGTAAGATCTAAAGCTTTCTTCTGTCCTTCTGACCTTGATACACAGGCTTCAAACAATTTTTGAGATACCTGAAAAAAATTATCACTGACATATTACATATAAAACAGAATAGGTGGTTATGGGGGGGAAACTTTCCTTAAGACTGATTTATTCCCAAAGTAAAACAAATGATTTATTTTACATTTAAAACAATTGTGTAAAACTACAATGGAGAAAGCAGATTCATTCATAAGTTAAAGAATTGCATTTTACTCTTTTCAAATAATGATATATATATTTTTCAATTTTAAAATTTCAAAGTACAAAACAATAAATTTTCATAAAAATAAATTTCCATGTAGAAAAAGTGAAGACAATAACTTAGAGTAGAAAATGTTGAAGAAAAATGATTATAATAAATCTAGGTCTGCCACTCTCTTTTCAATTACCAAAGAGCAAAGTTGATATGTGTGGAATTTACTTGAATTGGGTAACCAGAGTATAACGGCAATAGAAGTAACAGAATCGTTCCACTTGAATGCTCATTTTTTAATACTTTTTTTATTCTGAAAAGGGAAATCACTATATGACACTGTGCTAAAAAGTAACAAATTTTCTTTTGTTAATTTTTTATTGTAGATTATTTATTTATATTATAGATTATTTATTTATAGATTACATCAATATTATTCTGGATAATATCAGAAACTTCTTAGAAGAAGTACTACATCAAATTTATGTTTAAATGCTAAATTGGAAATCTTTTCCAAATTAACGCTTACTGGATAATTGATTAATATTTTTACTACTGAATAAAAGTTGGCATCTAAATATTTTATGAGAATGTCAATAACTTTACAAAACCATTATCAATTTTGCATATTAATTGCTTATTTTTGGTTTCCTCTGTCATACATTTTAAAATTTATAAAATTTTAAATTCAAGCATTTTATTCCAGGCCATTATGTAACAAGAGTAAACATACGTAGGCAATTATACCACAGGTTATATTTTGGTTGCATATTAATTTTGTTTAATATAAAATTTAAAAATTATATAAGCTATGAGCATTAATTATAGTACTGGAATAAGCATTTCCACTCAGCACAAGGGGTGAAGAGACAGTACAGGGGCTCAAGCATTTGCCTTGAATTATCCGACTCTGTTTGAACCCTGACACTGTGCAGTCCCTTTAGCACTGCCAAAGGTGATCCCTGAGCACAGAACCAAAATAAGCCCTGAGCATCTGTGAGTGTGGCCCAACAGTTCTTTTTAAATAAGTAGCTCAATAAGTATAAATAAAAATTTAAAGAAGCAAAGATTTTTTGAAGTTTTATGTTTTGTGATTTTTCTTAAAAATTTTGTTAGCAATTTATATGCAGCAGTAAATGTCCAATAAGCATTTTTTCAATAATTATTTCTATTGCATTCAATTTAAAAAAAAGTAAAGGACTAGAGAGATAGTTCAATGGCCTGGAGAGAACATGCTTAGCATGGAGGGGGTTCAGGTTCTATTTTTACTACTGCACACTCCCCAAGCACTGCCAAGAGCACCACACTTGAAACAGGCCCTGAGCACTTCTGGGTGGCCCAAACCAAAGCCAAACAAAAATAAAGACAAAACAAACAAAACAGGTTTTGCTATTAATTAGTAATTCATGAATACTTATTTTATTTGTTCCTTTGTAAGTTTAGTAGAAAATTTTTCTTCTGGGGGCTAGAGCGATAGCTAAACACACTGATTGGATGCCCTGCATTCAGGAAGTCCCAGTTTGAGTCCCAGCGTTGGCATCTCATAGTCCCCATGTACTGCGATGAGCAACCTTGGAGCACAGAGCTGGGAATTATCCCTGAGTATGTTATGGGCTGGAGCGATAGCACAGCGGTAGGGCGTTCGCCTTACAAGCGGCCAACATGGCCGACCTGAGTTCGATTCCTCCGCCCCTCTCGGAGAGCCCGGCAAGCTACCGAGAGTATTCGATATGCCAGACACAGTAACAACAAAGTCTCCAATGGAGACGTTACTGGGCCCGCTCGAGCAAATCGACGATCAACGGGAGGGCCTTTACTTTACTTACTTACTTATTGCTGGGTGGGGTCCAAAAACCAAACTCCAAAAAGTATTGCATAATTAAACAATTTTAAATAAAACAAATTGTTAAGGCACAATAATTTTACAAAGATATTCACAGCTGCGTTTCAGGCACCTAATGTTCCAACACCAGTCCCACCACTAGTGTCAACTTTCCTTCATCAGTGGTCCCCAGGTTCCCTCTCACCCTCCTTGACAGGCACATTTTAAAGTTTGGTTGATATCCTTATCGGTTCTATCATCTCTTAAAAAATGTTGTGGGTCACGGATGCTATGGAATATTAACTGTTAAAGTTGCTAATTAAAAATATCTTCTGAAAGCAAATATGAAGAAAAGCAAACCTTGCAAACCTATTAAAAGCAAATATGAAGAAAAGCATCACTTGCAAACCTATTAAAAGCATCACTTAGAGAAAATGCTACATTCTGAAAAGAATCTTCAAAGACCAAAAATTTGAAGGAGAAGAACATGAAATATATGAGAAACTTCAACTTACCAAGTTTCCGAGGTGTTCTGGTAAATGTCCCTTTTACGGTTCGGCAGTGGGAATTATCTCCTCCACAGACGCCACACTTATCTTCAACTTTATTAGAACCGATTTCTTTATCACAGCCCACTTTCTGGAAAGAAAAGTTATATGCAGCTAACTTCATGTGCCAAATCAAAGTCAGCATACTGGAGGATGATGAACCATTTTATTCATGAACCTTCCGTGAATACTGCACCGAATTTTTATTCTAAGTCTTAGTTTTTAACAATTCAATCTCTCAAGGAACTATTATGAAATCAAATGACTTAGGATTCCAGATTAAAATGAATCCTAAGATGAATTTCTCCTAGGCAAATGGATATGTCCTTCACTAGATAAATGGAGGGAAAAGGAGAGAAAAGATAAAATACACACATGGTTATAATCATCAAACATTTATTGGGTACAGATGCTGCAGTTAACACTGAGGAGAGTTAACTACAGTTAAGACTTGTTCTTCCCGTGTTCTCCTATTTATAAAGATGAATAATGAAAAAGCAAGATAAACATTGGTACAAGCTTTATACATTAGTTAGGGATGTAACAGAAAATTTCACAGAAGTAAGTAAAGTAAAGTAAAGGCCCTCCCGTTGATCATCGATTTGCTCGAGCGGGCCCAGTAACGTCTCCATTGGAGACTTTGTTGTTACTGTGTCTGGCATATCGAATACTCTCGGTAGCTTGCCGGGCTCTCCGAGAGGGGCGGAGGAATCGAACTCGGGTCGGCCATGTTGGCCGCTTCTAAGGCAAACGCCCTACCCGCTGTGCTATTGAAGATTTTTATAGGAACAGAGTGTGGAAAGGCATTTTGGGAATGCAGAGTGATTAAAACAGTCAGAGCCGCTGACTATTCATGGAAAATGGTTATGGGGAATAGTAGTTAAATCCATGGCATGCGGTGTTGAATGACAGGAGAAAAGAATGGTGAACTATTTACAAAATAGGAACCACAGAGGACCGTGTTGCCAGGTTTACATTTTCAGATTAATTAATCAAGAAACTAGATTTACTGAATTAAGGCAGGTCCTGAAAGTAAGTGTATAATAATGACACAGGATACACTATCACACTCATTAGTTTGGCATGGAAGTAGGCAAGCAAAATAATGGCATAAAAATACTTTCAGTGCACTAGGTATTATGGGAGGGAAACAAGATACAGATTTTACTTTTAGTGACACTTTTGAGGATTTTTTTGGTTAGTTTTTGGAACACACCTGGCTGTACTCAGGCTTACTCCTGGCTCTGTGCTCAGGGTTCACTCCTTGTGGGGCCCATATGGAATGCCAGGGATCAAACCCAGGTCTGTTGCATTAAGGCAAGTTACCCTATCTGCCATAGTACTGTTCCAGTCCTTAGGAAAAATTCTGTTAAATTATGAAACATCTGTCTACTGCGGTTCATTAATACAATACTAGTGGTGCTAAAGTGAAAAAGGAAAAAAGTCAAAGCTAATGTATAAGTTAATAAAAATAAGTTATATCAATGTAACTTGTGAATATGAACAAAATTGTGTTTTTTTAAAAGAGAACTACTTTCATCCTTAGAATTCACTGCTTAAAAATTATTTTTAAAAGAAACATATTGAAGGGTGAGAGAACAAAAGAAGTTTTTGTTATCCTCTAAAACAAAGATAAAATGCATTTAGTGCTAGAGAAATAGCTAAACAGGCCGAGAGAGTTATTGCCCATGATGGAGAGTCCCATGGGATCCTTGGCACTGCTAGAAATAACCCAAAACAAAGAGCTGGGAATTATCCCGAGCATCACAGGGTGTGCCCCCAGCCCCGTCAAAATAACCCCTAAAAACAAAACAAAAGATAAAATACTTTTAGCATTAACATTTAAAAAAAAACTGTGTTCTTAAATAACTACTACTAAAATAACTGAAAGCGAAGACATTATTCCCAAGTTGTATTCCCGGCCTAGAGGCAACAGAGTAATTTGGAAAAGCATTTGGCTGGAAATTAGGAAAATTACTTAAATCCTGATTCTGCCAGTGACCAAGAATTGATATTATAAGTGCAATTTCATCCAAATTTTAGCTACTGGTCTATTTGTAGACTCTCTGGATAATGTGATTTCACAGATCAGTAGAAGTTATTTTTTGAAAATATGTAGATGAACTATAGTATAAGTAGAATTTCATACTACTGTAGCAAGCTCTTACGAGGGGTAACTTGACTCACCACACACTCTCCCCGTACGCATATGCTATAGGGATCTTTGTAGGAGCAGCGTGTCCCATCATGCACCAGTTGCTTCATATAAGCGACATCTCCAGTCTCTTTGGATTGACAATAAAGGTGGCATCTTTTCTTGGCTGCCAAGAAAATAGAAGATTAAATCAGCTACTAATATAAGAAGGTATGTTTAAACAGTCAAGTTTGTTTTCTTCTTGAAATATGAAGCAGTTTCAGTGCGGTTTTCTGAAAACAAAACACTGAATAAACAAGTTAGTAAAACGGAGGGGAAAAATATGCATCTTTGGCAGAGTTTTGTAACTCGGGTGTTTTTAACTAGGGTGACCAAATTATTTGACATCTAAACTGCTCTGCTTTGGAGTGAAAGGAGGCTCTATTAATAAGTTTACTGAGCAGGCGTAAACTGGAACTGTCCTAGGTAAATATGGTTATATGGTCACCTTAGATTTATTCAAAGCTCTTCAGTAAATTTTAACACCGAATCAATTTAGTTTTAATGATACCCGGAGAGTTGAAAGGGTTTCTCTTTCATTTGAAGCAATGACCTACTCTAGTTTTTGCATCTTACAGGTGCCCATTAACTAAAAAAAGGTAATGTACGTGACAGCTCCCCCAAGAAGCCAAAATAATATATTTCTTCTAAATGCACTGTGACTTCGGATTCCTAAAAATGCATTTTACCCTTATTGATTTTTGTTTGTTTTTTTAGGGGCCACACCCAGCTGTGCTCAGGATTTACCCCTGGTTCTGTGTGAAGGGGCCAATTTTGAAGGTGCTCCAGTGACCATATCGTGTGCTGGAGATCAGATTGGAGCTGCCTATATATAAGAAAAGAGCATTACCCCCTGTACTGTCTCCTGGTCCTGCAGGTTCTTTTAAAAGAGCAGTAAGGAGCTGGAGAGAGAGTACATCTGATAGGGTGCTTGCCTTGCACATGGATGACCCAGGTTCAATCCCTGGCACCTCATATCTGATCTTTGCCAGAAGTGATCCTTGAGCACAGAGTTAGAAGTAAGCCCTGAGCACTGCCTGGAGTGGCCCTAAAACCAAACAGTGAAAAACGCTATTAAGTTGAACTTAGCAGTGTTTTAAATCACAGGATGGTCATTTAAGTATTTTATTCATCCAAATAAAAGGCAACGTGGTAAGTTTCCAACTGAAGAGATCTAACTGATAATTCTGGAGGTTAAAAAAAGATCCCATTGAAAGAGCATTTCGCACATGCATTTGGAATAACTAATATACAGTACCGATGCAAAATGTTATAAAGTATCTTTTGTTATTTAAATATTAAATATCTATTCCTTTTTCTTCACTTAATTGTAAAAACCGACAACAGTAACAACAACTATTCTTTTCTCCAGCTATTCAGAATGGAATGATCATAAAATTCCAAAGCATTTAGCAGCAGAAGGATTTCGGTGGAAAAAGGAAACTCAACATCACTCCAATGTGTTACTTTCCACTGTTCTTTTCAGAGGTGTGTGGGAGTGGGTTTTGCCAAGACCTCTTCCACAATCCTCATGTCTCTGAAGAAAAGAGCATGTTTGCTTTATCCTTGGCAACCCAGGGGGAATGAACATACTCCTCGAATCAACAAGTTTTCTAACTTATCAAGCAGGGCTCAAGAGTCCCAGCAGTGTTGGCAGTTTGAACTTTAAGATCCACGCAGCAAGCCAAGAATGGGTGAATACTCACAGTCGGGATGTTCGTAGGGCAACCAGTGATGTTTGCTATTCTGGTATTCAAAGTGGGAGTTTCGCTGCTGGCACTGCTGGGCTCGGAAGTCCTCAAAGTGTTTCTGGCATTCTTCCGTACTACAAAGCTGGTACTCAAAATTAACACCAGGACAATCCTGACCGCCATTGATGGGCCTAGAGAAAAGACAACATTTGAAAAGGCGGCTGGCTCGGGCCCAGAACTGCAGCTTGCAGACACAGAGCTGGACGGCTGAGAGCCAGTTTCTGAGTGCCAGCGAAGTGAATGAACTCACACTTCCTCATTGCAGTTCCTGCCTTAAAGCACTACCCTCTCTCTGGGGATGTGATGGGGGAGGGGAAGGCATAAAAAATCCCATTTAGATCAACTTTTCCAACAGTACTGAGAAAAAGAAATAAAAATCATATACATGGATTTCGGAAAATTGTATTTTCTACTACGTGCTAAATACACATATGCAACCCAAAGAAACTCTAAATACTATGACGTAAATTGAGAATAATAATCCTACTGTCCTAAAAATAACAGCAGCACTGTCCTCCCGTTGTTCATCGATTTGCTCCAGCGAGCACCAGTAACATCTCCATTGTGAGACTTGTTACTATTTTTGGCATATTGAATACACCACAGGGAGCTTGCCAGGCTCTGCCATGAGGGCGAGATACTCTTGGTAGCTTGCCTGGCTCTCCGAGAGGAGCGGAGCAATGGAACCCGGGTCGGCCATGTGCAAGGCAAATGCCCTATCCTCTGTGCAATCGCTCCAGCCCCCCCCCAAAAAAAATAATAGTAGTAGAATTAAATGTGTCAGTGTATTTTTCTTTTTTTGCTTTTTGGGTCACACCCAGCGATGCACAGGGGCTACTCCTGGCTCTGCGCTCAGGAATCACCCCTGGCGGTGCAAAGGGGACCATATGGGATGCTGGGAATCGAACCCGGGTTGGCCATGTGCTAGGCAAACGCCCTACCCACTGTGCTATTGCTCCAGCCCCGAGTGTATTTTTTTTATGGAGGTGACATTGCACTGTAAGTATGCTTTATCTGCTCATTATTAAAAATTAGCATGTGCATACTGTATTTTTAATTTAATCATTAATAGTCCAATTATATTCTTCACTATACAATTAAATGCTTGCAATACTGGATTTCTCCATCTTTCTTCCCCTTTCCCTTTCAGTACTACTAATTGGTCTTACAGTCTAAAAGGTTATTGATAGGAAGAATGTCTCTGTTGACTGATTTCATGAAGGATAATGCCCTCCTCCAGTTCCATCCACATTACTACAAATGGCCGGATTTCCTCTTTTGCATATTATAACTGAATGGTATTCTAGTGTGCATATGTGTATTTGCGTGTATTGTTTTATGCGTAAAGGATCACAAGTCCTTTATCCAATCATCTGTCAGTGGGCGCTTCAAGTTGTTGTTCTTAATTTACAGCATGTGGTGATATTCAATTGCCTTTATTATAGTACACATATATTACTATATTTCAAAGTTTTTAGTTTTTGTTACTAGGACTGCCATTTCTTCCTATGAAGGCAGTTATGTGACTCCAACAAAAGATGTTCAGAGTCATTCTCCTGTGAGAGACAGATAGGAGCAATTCACCTGTATAGCTCTAGGCCAGAAAAGAAAATGTCCTAAATTTCATATTATGACTTTTTTCCTCTAGAAAACGAAAGTTTTCTAGGACACAAAAGGGATTCAGAAAATTTAGTTTGAGTGAATGAATGACAAAGTCTCCCCAAGTTCTCTGACCCCTTGCTTGCCTTGCTTGAAGCATTTCCCGCCTACCTGAGGAGTCAGAGAGCCTCTGAGGCGGGTGCTGCCTGGTCCTGCCAGGAGCTTCCTGCTGCAGAACTAAGCACATATACTCGCTCTTCAGAGCACCAAGATCTACTTTCTCACTCCACTCTTTAACTTTTCTAAGCATCAGTTTCTTCAAGTAGCTGGACTCTTTCCCAGATTCTCACCCTCGACACTGAGAATTCTTTTCAAGATTGATTAAGTGTCAGGGATATTTACAACATAAACATGTATTTTACATGTACTTCATGGAACAGAATATAACATCCTTAGGTTGAAGCAGTAACCAGAGTTATAGGAAGGAGCCATACTCACATTGGATTATTGCACTGACGTGTTCTGAAACGAACCCCAGTTCCACATGTTCGGGAACAGGAACCAAATTTGGTCCAGGAGCCCCAATTGCCATCTTGCTTTTGTTGATTAGCATTCTTCCACATGCAATGGCCCTTATAGCACCACTTAGGAGAATGACAAAAGGTAACTATGATAATCAAACATACGCTAAAAGTTGTTTTATAAGCACCATCACTTGAAAAGTTTACTTTCTTTTATCTTTCTAGTTGAAAATGCATTGAAAATCATCCAAAAACAATCATAACAATAAGGCACACTTAAAGAAGAATAATTTGGACAAATTTTATAATTATAATAAAATTATAATAAGAGAATAGCACTCAAATGTTTCTAAATGACACATTTAACAGTCAGTATAAAATACCATAAAAATAACTAAGTATCTAACTTGCAGTTAGTTATTCCCCATTTTAGTCCTTGTATATATACTATAGAGCTTTTGAAGGGAAAATACACTCTTCTTTAAAGTAATGGTATTATATGTGTGTATAACATACATTATACATAGAAAAGCATTATATGTACTTTATAATTATAAAATAATTTATATAACATATCTAATATATACCTAGTTGTCAAAGAACATATGTATGTATATATACTTATTTATCCACAATGATTCTGAGAGACAAATAGGTCAGCTATATTATATTTAACATTTCCTGAGGAAAATTGGAACATGAGTAGCATAAGATTATCTAAAAATAATTAAATATTTAGAAGCCCGTTTAGTAGAGCTACACAACTCACAATGCCCAAAAGACAGTAGAGCTCTAAAGTATTAGTTCTTTTCTCTTCCATCATTTTGTTGTTGTTGCTTTTGGTTTTGTGTTTGCACTCTACTCATCTGTGCTCAGGGTTTCCTTCTGCCTCTGTGCTCAGTAGTCACTCCTGGTGGGTTCGGGGATCATGTCGGGCTCCAGAGATTGCACCCCGGTCAACTCTATGCAAGGGAAGCCTCCTACCCACTGTATTATCCCTCAGGCCCTTCCCTTCAGTCATTTTGATTTGTTTAATGAAATGTTAAGTGTTTCTTAAAACTTAACTGATAAACTTGAATATCACACAAATATATTTAGAGAACTTGGATTTTCATAGTTTATTCACAGGATACTACTTTTATAAAGCATGTATAAATCAATTAATTTTTGATTTTTGATTTTTCTTGAATAAATTACTGAATTTTCCTGAAGCAACACATTAAATATAATGTTCACAATTGTGTTTCTATTACTTAAATATAAATAATGACAGATTTTATTGTAATTCTCATGGTAAGTACAGTTTATACACCTTAGAGTTTGAAAAGACTTCACAGAGCTAGAAGTTTTTAAATATTTCTTGTAGCTCTTGGCCCTGCTTACAGTACCTTCTTTCTAAACCAGTCAAGGCACTTCAAGTTGAGTCTTAATATGCCTTTGTTTTGGGTTTGGTGATCTTTGGTAGCATAGCTTGGCATGGGACCAGTTTCTGAGCACTCGATCTTGACTACACAATTAGAGATTTAAAACTTCTGGGCATCTTTCCCCAAGAAGCAAGGCCAAATATTCTGAATACGTTCACAGGACTTGATTTCTGTACAACTTTCACAAGAAGAGGGGTGCCAGCAAGTAAATCAGATTCCACTAGCAGAGGCCCAGATATTCCGTTGAGCTGAAACTTCCTATTTTCAGAAGCGAGATGAATAGTAGTCCCACTGCTATCAGATTCTAGGGCCTGAAGTATACGTTATCTTGCACAGAATAAGGTCTTCGCGTATGTGATTAAATTAAGGAATGGTGAGATGGGGAGATTTTACTGGGTTATCTAGGTAAGCTCTAAATCCATCACATGTATCTTTATAGGAGATAGAAGATCTGCAGACAGAAATGAAGGGGATAAGACAGTCACATGGGTCAATGCTGGAGATTAGAGTTATACAGCCACAGGACAAGGAATGCCAGCTGCTAAAAGAAGCTGAAAGAAGCAAGGAACAGCATCTCCACAAGAATCCTGGGAAAAGATGGGGTGTTTGGTCCTATCCACACATTGATTTTAACTTTGTAAAACTGTTTCTGGACTTCTACCCTCCAGAACTATGACAGAATAAATTTCTGCTGTTTTAAAACACCATGTTTGTTTGTGGCAATTTGTTTGGGCAACCATAGGGGAAAAAAAGTGCTAGTCCATTATCATAATGAAACTTTATGAACCAGAGTGTCCATAAACAACACAGTACAGATACTCTCATAACCCCTCGGATTTTTGAAGATGATTATTATACACCACATTATGCAAGCATCTTCACTGTAGAACCACATATACTCACTTTTCCAGCAGCACATTCAGTTCCATCAAGTGGGGGTCCCTTTTTAGTCTTACAGAAGTAAGGATTATCAGGATGGCTGCACCAGAGCTGTTTGCATGGGTCAAAGGTTCGGAACTAGGAGGAAGAAAGAGGATCAAAATCTCAGTCAAACACAGATATGATCGCAAGGAAGTCTAACCCTGTCTGCTCTACTATAATACCTACATCCCATATTTTGGGGTCATTTTATTTCAATTTAGTGTGAAACTGAAAAAAAAAAACCACTGGGGTGAGAGATAGCACAGGGGTCAAGACTCTTTCCTGGCATGTGCTGGGTCTCAGTTTGGTCCCCTTGGGCACTGCTAGGTGTGGCCCAAACCTCACTCTCCTTCAAGGAAAAAAATACTAAGAATTCCGACTAGAGAATATTTATTCTGATTTCTTTCCTAAAATATTAATAAAAATGATTTGCCCCCAATTCTCTAACAATATTTCAATATTTATCCATAAAATAGTAGAATTTTTAAGGACAACTTTGTAACTCAAGTCATCTTAATAAAAAAATTAAAATTTAAAAAAATTTAGAAGTAAGCAAAAAGATCTTCTAATATCATAATCATAACATAGCTGAGAACAGCATAGTAGGGGGCAGCAAGAAAAGATATGTGGATTTAGTTATTGTACATTGTTTATGTTCCTTGACCAGTGTTTTATTTTATTTTTTTAGCAAACCAAATTAAAACATATGCTACATGTCAACAATACATCACAATCAACTGGTTTTACCTACAGTTACAAGGGTGATGGCTCAAGAAATAACATCAATAAATATGATATACCATATTAATAAAAGTAAAGAAAAGAATCATGGTAACATCAACAGATGCAGATAAAGCATTCAGCAAGTTGACCAATGTTTTAATTAATAAATACTTCGCACAGGGGCATGGACAAGGGCTTGGGCACTTTGGTGGGAGGGGATGGATAAGGGTAGCTGTGTACACAAGTCCACAATGTCAATGGCATTATAAGCATGTTAGCATAACTATAATAAATCTAAAGATAATGAAGTAAATAAGCAAAAATATATTATTATTATTATTATTATTATATTTTGATTTTTGTTATTTGGGTCACACCCAGTGATGCACAGGGGTTGCTCCTGGCTCTGCACTCAGGAATTACCCCTGGCGGTATGGGATGCTGGGAATCGAACTCGGGTCAGCTGTGTGTAAGGCAAATGCCCTACCAGCTGTGTTATTGCTCCAGTCCCAAAAGTATATTAAATTTGATTTCAACGGCTTTGCAGTTCTCAAGCTATAAAAATACTTTCTTTTTATCTCTGGAAGTAGAAATTCATCAGCTGATGCTAATGGACTGACATAACAGAAGTTCCCAATCTTTCTATGCAAGACATACGTTCCAGGTACAAAAAAAATCGCAAAACATTCATGCAGTTTATTAAGTATCATTCAGATTTCTATGTGGTCCTCCGAACAATCATGATTGAAATGAGTGTAACAAGGTAAGGCTGTTATTATGGTTTCAGTGAGACAGCAAGAGGATCAGACCAGAATCAATTTTGATTTTCTCACTGTTAAGAAAGTTTTATATTTTTTGAAGAGAAATATCTATGCATACATGAAAGCACATATACATATTGTGCATGCTAGTTACTTCCCTTCTTTCTTTCTAATGTAACCATCACACCATTCTTTAGATCTGGAATTTTTGTTCTAATTTCTATTAGCTAAGATAGAAATGATATATTTTCACAGGATTAAGCCAAAGCTTTTGAAATAACCATATCTAAGTTATTACCCAGGTAATTAGGAACTGACAGTAGATACAGCACTGACAGTTTAGAGACAGATAAATTGACTGCAGATATCTGCCCCTGGACTATTTCAAATAGCAGATCAGCTTCTTTCCAGTCAGGGAAAAATGATTTTTCTTTTGCTTTAACATATGTAAGTAAAGTAAAGGCCCTCCCGTTGATCATCGATTTGCTCGAGCGGGCCCAGTAACGTCTCCATTGGAGACTTTGTTGTTACTGTGTCTGGCATATCGAATACGTCACGGGGAGCTTGCCAGGCTCTGCCGTGCGGGCGAGATACTCTCGGTAGCTCGGTGGAGGAATCGAACTCGGGTCGGTCATGTTGGCTGCGTGCAAGGCAAGTGCCCTACCGCTAAAACCCCTGTTTTCTCTACCATGTTTTAAAAATAAACTTCTAGTAATTAAATAGCATGGTATTGGACAATCCCGCAGAGTTAAATATTAATAGAGTTGAATATCCTGACACACACCCTCAAATATATGATCATTTAATCTTTGATAAGGGAGCAGGAAATATAAAGTGAAGCAAGAAAATCCTCTTTAACAAATGGTGCAAGGGAAAACAGGACAGATACATGCAAAAAAAAAAAAGATGAAATAAGACCTCTAAGTCTATGCACAAAAATTGGATCAAAATGCATCAGACCCAAATATGTAAGGTACATGGAAGAAAATGTAGACAAAACCCTCTACAATACTGAAGCTAAAGGTATCTTCAAAGATAAAATGCCAGTGACCAAGCAACAAGAAGCAATGATAAACAAATGGGACTTCATTAAACTAAGAAATTGCTTCAGTTCAAAAGAAACAGTGACCAAAATACAAAGACAGCCTTCAGAATGGGAAAAGTTATTCACCCAGTACCCTTCTGATAAAGGGTTATTATCAAATATATACTAGGCACTGGTAGAACTTCACAGAGAAAACATCCAACCTCATCAAAATGTGGGGAGAATAAATGCCTTCAAAGGAGAAATTCAAATGGCCAATAGGCACATGAAAAAAAAAACCTCTTTGTCACTAATCAACAGGGAGATGCAAATCAAAACAACAATGAGATATCATCTCATACCACAGAAAATGGCACACATCAAAAAGAATGAGAACAACCAGTGCTGGCACAGAAAGGGACACTAATTCATTGTTGGTTGGAATGCTGATTGGTTCAGCCTTTTTGTAAAACAATGTGGACATTCCTCAAAAAAACTAAAAATTGAGCTCCCATTTAACCCAGCAATACCACTTCTGCGAATAAACCCTGGCAGCCCAAAAATACACAGCAGAAACACCATCTGCAATCCTATGTTCATTGCAGTACTATTCACCATAGCCAGAATCTGGAGACAACCTGAGTGCTCAAGAACAGATGAATGGATAAAGAAAGTATGGCACATCTACACAATGGAATACTACACAGCTGTTAGGAAAAAATGAAGGCATAATGTTTGCCTGTAAATGGATGTGCATGGAGAGTATCATGCTAAGTGAAATGAGTCAGAAGGAGAGGACAGATATAGAATAACTGTATTTATTTGTGGTATGTAGGGAATGCCCTGCCAAGAGACAGGGTGGAATGGGGGTGGGATGGGGGATGGGAGGGATACTGGGATCCGTGGTGGTGGGAAATGGGCACTGGTGGAGGGATGGGTATTTGATCATTGTATAATTGAAACCCAAGCACAAAAATGTATAAGTCTGCAACTGTACTTCATTATGTCTCACTATTAAAAAATGTTTTAATAAAAAAAGGAGAAATATATACTAGAAAGCTAATATTGTTGGAATCTGCCACATGTGTGTGTGGGGCAGAGGGTAGGTAAGATAGAGAAGGGACCAGCATGACAATAATAGTTGGAAATGATCGTGCTGGACAAGAACTGAGTGTTAAAAGTAGATAATTGGGTATACGTGATAATTTTTCAGTTTCTGTATTGCCGACCACAATTTCCAAGAGCAGAGAGAGAGAGAGAGAGAGAGAGAGAGAGAGAGAGAGAGAGAGAGAGAGAGAGAGAGAGAGAGAGAGATGCCTGCCATAGAGGCAGGCTTGAGGGGGTGTATTGTGTTTATCCATTTAGATACATTAACAAATATAATACACTAAATCTGTGTGATAAATGCCATCACAATCCACATTTTATACCTGAGGAAATTAAACCAGAGAAGTGGAGTAAAGTACATAAAGTCATCTAGAAAGTGTCAGATTCAGGCCTGATCACCCACAATCTGAATGTGGAGACCATATTATTGTCATGCCATATAATCTGTGATTTCTCTGGGTCACAGTTACATGGAATTCCTGCCAACCAAACTAATAAAAATAAACCATCTGAAGTGTAAAAGTCATCTATTCAGATCACAAAAACAAATGTAGTAAAACAAATCTAGTTTTGGAGTCTGTTAACAAACTTGGTTTCAACGTCCAGTTTGCTTATTGAGCAGATCAGTGATCTAAGCAGATTTCTTAATCTCTGTAAGTCTTGGAATTTTTCGTCTATAAAGTAAAGGTATACCAACTCCTTTCTAATCTGCCACTGAATTAAAGAAGAGAGTGTGTTTAAAACATTTAGGTTTTCGCATAGTGACACAGCAGACAAAATCACTGGTAGGTATTCTCATACTTGCACAAGTGAATCTGTAAAATTCGCCACGCAAGAGTTATGCAAATAGTTTTTAAGATGCAAAGTTTAAATTGACTGTAAGCAACATACCGCAGTGCACATTTTATAACCAACGCCAAAGTCAAAGCGACATTGCTCATCCATAGAATAATTAATTCCAGGAAGCTCTGGGAGTTTGGGCCAATTATGTTCAAAAGGATCATCAAGGAGACAGTCATAGGAACTACAGGAAAAAAAATACATTGCACATAGTTAAATGTCAATTTCTAGCATGATAACAGAAAGTTATTCTTGGGTTATATACGCTAGGATTTCATCAGGTCACAAAATAATAGACATTTTAATATTTTGGCAGATCACACCCGGCAATGCTCAGGGGTTACTTCTGGCTCTGCATTCAGGAATTACTCCTGCTAGTGCTGGGGGGCCACCTGAGGTGCCGGGGATTGAACCCAGGTGGCTATCTGCAAAACAAACACCCTACCTGCGACACTATCTCTCCGGTTCCAAAAATACACATTTTAATGTGTTTTGTGTTAGTCACAGTTTCATTTAGAAAGAGATCCTTCATCCTATTCATGCTGGGGAAATAAACCAAGAATGACTTAGCAGTACAGCAGAGCTGAGGCAGACCTACTCATGGCCTTAGCTCAACACTCAGGTGACACGTTCCCCAGATTGTGTGACAGGGCAGGTCCTGAAACCCCTCCTGTTTATACAAACATCATATGACCAACTTCTTATGAGCCTCAAATTTGACCCTACATTAAACGTTCCAAGAAGAAGGTGGAGCGATAGCATAGCGGTAGGGCGCTTCCCTTATAAGCGGCCAACATGGCCGAACCGAGTTCGATTCCTCCGCCCCTCTCGGAGAGCCCAGCAAGCTACGGAGAGTATTTGATATGCCAAACACAGTAATAACAAAGTCTCCAATGGAGACGTTACTGGGCCCACTCGAGCAAGAAGAAGAAAATTTTTAAGGAAATTAGTTTCAACTGAGACTTTAGAATGCCTTGTTTTATTTATTTTTGCCTTTTAGGTCACACCTGGCGATGCTCAGGGATTACTCCTGGTTCTGCACTCAGGACTCACTCCTGGCGGTGCTCAGGGACAATATGGGGGGCTGGGAATCGAACCCGGCTCGGCCCTGTGCAAGGCAAACGCCCTACCTGCTGTGCTACTGCTCCATTCCCCAAATGCTTGAAGTTTTAAACTTATGAGGTAAAGCGGTGTGATTACATGATGCAATCTTTGGGTCAAAGGCTCTGAGTCAGAAGAAAATATTTATTGTAAACAGCAGCTTTCATTTACCAAGATTTTTGTGATGAGCAAGATCTTAAGAATCAGTATCCTGTCTGGGTTTCTGCTCTAACGTGGCTGTTCTCAGGGCAAGCAGGAAGGGACTTACTGAATGTATCTCTTCAATTCTTGGCCACTGCATCGTGACCAGTGGTAACGGTGAAAGGCTGCTTGCACCAAGGGAGCCATGACGCTTCCCATCGCGGTCTCATCACCACACCTGTTGCCTTGGCCATCGTGCTCCATTCCTAATCTAGAAGACAAAAAGCAAAGCTCCTTGGTGAGAATCACAGGGGCCAATACTACATTTCATCTCAGTTTTGAAGATGATGACAAGGAAGTTACATATTTTCAAAACCCTGTGGCTATTACTGAGGAGTGACAGGCAGTGAAAGAAATAGCAACTTGACAAGAAACGCTTCTCTGGTTCTCTAAGTGCATCTGCAAGTTGGTCGCTCATTTAGTTTCAGTGAATGACCCCTTGACTGTTTGCAGGGCCTCACACTTGGCAGGGAAGAGAGTTACGTGTTGGCATGCAGTCTGCCCAACATGTGAACAATACTGAGAGAAACTGGGAAGAAAAGACTTTTTTTTTTGCATGAAAGCTATGACTTACACATGGCCAGTTTCATGGGCTACTACAAAAGCGGATGAAAAACCGTCCTCATGATTCAGGGTACAACTTCTCACCGGATGACACATGCCGGTGACTGGCGCATATCCTGTGGAGAATAACAATTACTTTTATTTTCACTTTATGAGAAAAGCCATTAAGAATTACTACTGGACCTTTGCCTGGGGAGAGCAGGGGATTCTTTCAGGAACAGAGACAGTATTCTTTTGCTGCTAACATTATGCCATGTTCTCTTGGGAAAGCCACAGGTAATGGGTTCTAAAGAGACTCAGAAGGTTTGAATTTTCTCCTGTTGTAAGTTAAAGAACTGCCTGAGGTTGTCATTCTTTCCTGTCCACCAACTCATTCCTGTCTGTTGTAGTGAGTTCTATGTTCAATTGTTCAATCCAATGAAGGGGCCAGAAATTCCAGCGATTTGGAAAAGAAAATTATAAATATGCTTTCTCTCCCAAAATCTACATCAAAAGTTATTAGACAAATTGAAGCTGACTTTGGAAGAAATCTCACTGGCAGTGCTCATTTTTCATACCTTTCCCTTCCCATTCCAAATAGCTAACAGACCACATTTTACAGCGTCCTCTTCAGACCCCAAATGTACACTGTTATTTTAAAAGCAAGTAGAATCAATCATAGTTTTTAAGTGGCATTTAACAATGTGAATTCTACAGAAGCTACTGGCATAAAAAGAAAATAGAAGCATGGCTTATGTGGTGAAACACAGTGGTGGGATATATTTGAACCAACTCCCAGATTTAGAATTGCTTTTGAAAAGTCATGTCCTGAAGTTGTTCTTCTACATACTAGTGGAAATACCTTGCATTCCCGCAGGTCCAAAGTCTTGTCTAGTTAAGAAAATTGCATGGTCATGGTGTTCGGAGTGTTTGGGATCGGATTTTTGTTGTTGGCAAGCCCAACGGCACACATTTTCCAAGCTCCTCGATGGGTTTCCTCTTTCTATAAGGCTGATTGACTACGAGAAAATGGTTCATTAAAGACATACATAGCACTTTATCAAAAGCTACCTTAATAACTCTTCTTGAAGTATATTATTTGGGGCTTATTTGTATATTTCTTTTCTAAATGCTCTTGAAGATAACTATCTGATAATCATTAACAACCATGTGAAAGGCGACTGACCCATTTAAGGAAATATGTGAGACTGAAATCAGCTACAGTGAGAAATGGAATATTAATTATTTAGATAAGCACTGAATATTAATGATTTGGATAAGCATTCTTGTCATCTAAGTATTTGCTGATTCAACTTATATTTAGTTCCTTCGATATTAAGGACAAGTGGGAGAATCTGAACTAGAGATCTTTTTTTAATCAGTGATAGAGTCAAACAAACAATAAACACTGTCCTCCTGTTGTTCATCAACTTGCTCCAGCAGGCCCAGTAACGACTCTATTTTGATATTTGTTGTTACTGTGTTTGGCATATTGAATACGTCACGGGCAGCTTGCCAGCTTTGTCGTGCGGGCGAGATACTCTCAGTAGCTTTCCGGGCTCTCTAAGGGAGGTGGAGGAATTGAACCTGGCTCAGCCCTGCTGGCTGTGCACAAGGCAAACGCCCTACTGCTGTGCTATCGCTCCTGTATCTGAAAGATTTTTAGTTTTGAGTAGCGATGACTAAAAAGACAGGATAATTACACTAACTTCAATTCTTAATCCAGTGCCTCAGAACACTTGGCCACACTACCACAACACTATCTTCATTTCTAATAGCGTTAAACCTAATGGTATCAGTAAAAAAACAATTCACTATTTGCTCAAATTTAGAGATATTGTGGCAATGTTTCTTTCCAAATTCAGGAAAGGAGTCTATTGAGACATTATCTATCCTGCATATTAATTTAGCTTTTTCTTTGCTAACCCAGGACTTAATGTTTTAAGATATTTTACCTTTGCATAACCCAGCATTATCATGCGTACCAGGACCACATTTATATGTACTCCAAGGGACTCATCATGGTAAATTTCATTTACCTAGAAACAAAAGGCAAAATTAATGAAAGAAAGACAGGACAAAATAAATTATGCAAAATGCGCAAATTTAGGAACGGGTCATTAATGCCAAGAATGAGATTCAAGCCACTTTAAATTTAGTTTAATGGGGCTGGAGTGATAGTACAGAGGGTAGAGTGTTTGCCTTGCATACAAACACTATAATGTTCAATCCCTGGCATCCCAAATGGTCCCCTGAGCCCACCAATAGTGATCTCTGAGCACAGAGGCAGGAGAATGTTCTGAGCACTGCTGGGTGTGTCATACAAAACAAAACAAATGAAATCAATTTATTTTAAGATGAACTCCAGAAAATGCATATATTTAGCTTTGGAATGATTCTTGACTAAGTGGCTTATTAATTTTGTAAACTACAGAATACCAAGGGGACATAGAGAATGTGCATGTATATTACAGACTATTGTAGAATTAGAAAGAATACATATATGCTATAATACATGTTCACTATAGGAGTGACTGGTGAAGTATCTGCTAACCAGAGAGGCGCCCTGAGGGAAAGAAAACAGACACCAGGCACTTGCCCTACAGGGTGACCGTCTTTGCAACCATGGTGCTACCTCAGTCTTAGAGACCCTATGGAAACAGAGCCAATATGCAGAAGTTGTGGTGATGGACCTACGGGCAGGTTAGTAAGGAGCCTGTCCCTCCGTTGACGAGCAGGTCAGCTGCATTATTCATTATTCAGAAGGCTACAGTTGGGACAGTCACAAAATGGATAGTGTGTCTAACTATGGATCAGAAGATTCTAGAAGACCTACAGTATAGAAGTACTTTAATATTTAAATTATCAAGGTGGTAACATCTTAAGAATATCAGCTCTCAGAATAGATCTGAACAATGTTCATATACTATTCTATACTTAATATTTAAAGGTAAACACTTCTAGAAGTCATTTGGTGTGTTATAATAATAATAATAATAATAATACTGATAGATTCTAAGCAAATTCATTGTCTAACACAGATTTATGCAGAGGATAAAAATTTTAAGGATTGACTGACATGTAATACAAAGGAAATTAATTAGCAGACAAGACCTTAAGGTAGATTACAATTGTACTATGTAATTTAGCCAATGAAAAAAAATCAGTGTGAATAAAGGTTACTCAATAAGTTGGAAAATATTAGTAGGAATGGTAAAGGTGGAATTATCAAGCTAAGTTCTTCCAGGAAGAGAGAACCAACATTTGTCATGAAAACTGAAAGAATATGGAAAACCGACTGTAATTCAATTTGATTTTCAAGAAGTTTGGATGATAAGCACAGCAAGTTTACAGAAGAAGAACAAGTTGATCTCACAGGAATAGGTTTTTAAAAGAAATATAACTCTAGAATGGTAGAATGCTCTGAAAAATCAATTCATAATCATAGAATGGCAAATTGTTATAAAGGCCAAGAAATAGACCAAGAAATCTCAGATGACACATTTCAAGAATCTAACTGAAGTATATGTCCATCTCTTTCCTACATTTTTTGATGGAGTTGGCTATTCTGTTCTTATTAAGTTCTACCAGCACTTAATAAATCTTGAGTATTTACCATCTGCCAGATGAGTATCAGGCAAGTACTTTCTCCCAGTCTATGAGGGATCTTTTTATTCTAATCATTTCTTTTGTGGTGAAGAAGCTTCTTAGTTTGATGTATTCTCATATGCTTATCTTTGTTTCTGTTTGCTTGGTCAATGACATTGAATCATTGAAAACACTTCTAGATTCAAAGACATACAAATGGCCAGAAGACAGAGGAAAAAATTCTCTGCATCACTTATAATCAGGGAAATGCAAATAAAGCACGGAGATATCATCCCATACCAATGACAATGGCACATGCCACAAAGAACAAAAATGATCAGTGATTTTAGGGACGTAGGAAAAAAAGGAGCATTCATTCACTGCTGGTGGAAATGTTGACTGATCCAACCATTTTGGAAAACAATACAGACATTTCTTAAAAAGTAAAATAAATTAAAAAAAAACTAGGTATCAAGTTTCTTTATGATCCAGAAATTTTCCAAAGTTACAAAGGGACCAAAAACTATTCAGAAAAAGATATTTGCACTCCTATGCTCACATTATTTACAATAACTATAATCTGGAGACAAATAACCAAGAACAAATGATTGGATGAAGAAACTATGGTACATATACACAATGGACTATTACTCACCTATAATTAAAGATGAGATCATGTAACTTGCAGCTACATGGATGGATCTCATGGATGGAGTATCATGCTGAATGAAATTAGTCAGGAGAAGAACAGATATAAGATGATATCAATCATGTGTTAGGTATAAAGAAACACAGAAAGGAAACAAAGGCTTAAAGGTAACATAAACTGAGAACTGGTCTTAAGTAGAAAGCTTACCATGCCGGGGGAAGGGAATAAGGAGGGAAAAGATGGGGAGAAGGTGGGCACTGGAACATGTTAGAGGGAAACAGATACTCTTGTGGAGGGCGTGGTTTTATGCATGGAGTGTTTCATGAATGAAAGCCTATTATTAACAGCACAGAAAAAAATCACAGTTCCTACAATTAAACAAAATTAAAAAAAAAAGAATCTAGTGGAGCTAAACAGAGCACTTTCAAAGCCAAAGTATTAAATGTAGACTAAAGGTGTATTTATTGAGTTTGTTAATTGAACAAAAAGGGAAGAACAGGTAAGATGGAGGTAAAAGACCTAAATAAAATTAGTATGTATTAAATATTTATAGTTTAAACAGAGCTGGAGCAATAGCATAGTGGTAGGGCATTTGCCTTGTGTGCAGCCTTCCCAGCCGAGCCGGTTTTGATTCCTCAGCTCCTCTCAGAGAGACCAGCAAGCTACCGAGAGTATCTCACCCACAGGACAAAGCCTGGTAAGCTACCCGTGATGTAGTCAATATGCCAAACACAGTAACAACAAGTCTCAAAATGGAGACGTTACTGGGCCCGCTCGAGCAAATCGATGAACAATAGGAGGACAGTGACAGTGACAGTTTAAACAAAATCACTATTCTTTTTGAAGGGAAAAATGCAGGTACATGTAGTTATATTTACAAATGTACATAACACAAATATAAAACAGTAAGACCCAATTTAATATTTGTATAAGGTAAGCCAAGAAGATTTTTAAAAAATCTGTAATGCATTGCACAGCTCTACAAAAAGCTTATGCTCAGGTTGTCCAATCCAGTCAGAGTAAACCTAAAGCACTGACTTACTCTTCTTTCTGGACTGCATAAAAAGAGTGATGTTAATGTAACGAGAGACTATTAAAGCTCAAAGCTTGAGGAATCTAGAAACTGTGCCACATAAGGAATGATTGAGAGGTCTCTAAGGCTAAGAAACTAAGCACTTAGGCACCCTAACACCAGACACTCACTATCCCAGCTGATATTTCAGTTCAATCTCTCATTGCTTATGTATTCTTCATCACTGTGAGACTGAATTGAATTAATTTATTAATTAAACCTTATAGCTTAGGCAAGAGCTAAATGATTAAACTCATGATCACAAATTACTCAAAAAAGTGTAGAAGAGGGATATTTAAGATCCTTAGGGTGTTGGGATGAGAAAAGAAAACCTAAAAAGGAAATTTAATGGCTACCATATAAGGGAAATATTTAATTTATTCTTTATAGTTAAAAAAAATTTAAAACCCATGGGTTTACATTACAAGAAAATTTGAGAAAATCTGCGGTATCTTTTAGCCTTGAAGGTCATGGGCAGTTTCTTTTGCCTTACTCCTACTTCATACTGCTTAATGGAAGACCATATTGCCCTACCCACTGTAGCACTGTAACACTGTCCTCCCACTGTTCATCGATTTGATCAAGTGGACACCAGTAATGTCTCCATTATGAGACTTGTTACTGTTTTTGGCATATTGAATACCCCACAGGGTATGGGTGGAATACCCTCATAACTTGATAAGAAGTTTCTACCATTATAATTCCAATTTAAGTACCAAGTTCAAAGCCAGACCTGTCATAAGCATATTCATTCAGAGACTCCTGGACAAACTAAGAGACATAATGGAAGGCAGCTCTTTACACTTAGCACCAAGACTTCCTACTCAACATTGTGTGAACTTAATGCAATGGAAATGCAAATGTATTTAATGTTCTTGTCTTGGTTTACAAAAAGACTAAAAAAGCAGTATCAGTAAATAAACAAAACACAAGAACAATAAACTAAAGGGAAAAATAAGCTGATAGATGAAAGTACATTATCTTTTGGAGGAGAGGTGAGAAGTGTGAGAAAGAACAGTGGTCACTTTTATGTTGCAGGAAATTATAGATTCATAACATGAATTAAAAGGGGTATTAAGGACAAATACTCAGTGATGCTTGAGTTAGCAAAAGCACCGATAAATTCATTTCTACTTGGCAAACTTTACAATCAATGTGGCTATTCTTTTCGATGTTACTACCATTTTATGATACAGGAAAAAAATTAATAAGTTAAAAACAGATAAAAATAAAGAGAAGATATGAGTGAAATCAAACACACTTTTATTTTTCTTTTAAAAAAATTCTTTTAAAACCACAACACCCAATAAGGGAGAGAGAACAAAAGGGAATGCCCTGCCACAGAGACGGGGTGGGATGGGGGGATGGGGGGTGGGAGGGATACTGGGATCCGTGGTGGTGGGAAATGGGCACTGGTGGAGGGATGGATATTTGATCATTGTATAATTGAAACCCAAGCACAAAAAATTTGTAAGTCTGCAACTGTACCTCATGATGTCTCACTAATAAAAATTTTTTAAAAAATACCTGAAAAAAATGCTTTTAGTGCACAAAAGGAAAAGGAGAGAGAGAGCAAGAAGGAAAGTGCCTCCCATAGAGGGAGGCTGTGGTTGAGGGGTGGGATATTGGGGCATGGTGGGAGGGAAACAGGGGACATTGGCAGTGGGAAATGTATACTGATGGACGGATGGGTGCTGGATCATTGTATAACTGAAATCCAGTTATGAACA